GGCTTATTGAGCAGCAGGACTTCTGGGTACACGACTTAATTAAGCGATGTGGCTGGTCTACAGCTAATTAATTAATAAAATTCATGATTCTGATGCCCTGAACGCACGGACTTTTGTCCCCATGTTCGTAAAAGCTAACGGCTTTGAATTCTTCAAGCTATTTTGGCTCGCATTTAGTTGTGCCTCTGGACTTCAGAAATTGTGATCACCTATAAGTGAGAAGTCGAGAACCATGATCGATAAGTGAGTTCGGACTCTCTTTTCTGTTACATTTTCAGATGAGAACCGGAAATGTATGATAATTCTATCTTTGCTTTCCTACTCCTATTTGAATCCACATCTTGAGGATTACATATCCCATTTCTGGTACGTCCGTATGTATAGACTATTATTCATGGAATCGTGACTTCCTTCCAATTTTGGTGTTGGCATTTCCTCTAAAGATCGGCCCCCCTTTTACCTCGTTAGTCCCTCCTCGGCTGCGTTGACACTAAACCTCAACGTCTTCAACAACTCCACAACTATCATCTCAAGATGACATGGCCATAGCTAAGTTGTGCAACACTCCAACCTCCCCACGGTGATGGAAGTCCGCGTGACCCAAGTTTCCCCATTCCGAAGTTCGCCGGATCAATGCCCTAATCAGCCTCCCTTTCTCGGTGCATCTGAAGTCCTTTACCCGGGATTGACTGCACAGATCTCAAGTCCTTGCCAATGTTCCCCACAGCTGCCGGTAGAATTCCCTTCCCCACGATACCAAAGAATGTGTACCCAAGGGACATTTATATTAACGATTGGATATCTTCTCTCCTTTCGGTCGACGGAGGCGGAAGTACATCTGTGGACTTTGGCCTCCACCTCGATGCTTTCAGGCATTTGCGCGTTCGCGATGCCAGAGTTCAGGCAATTCTCGGCTGGTGACGGAGTTGAGGTGCGCAGCGCAGTGTAAATGAATTGAGTTTAGCTGCATGGATAGGCCTTCCGAATTGCAGGCGAGACAGCATGAACCTGAGCCTTTCGCGTTCGTGCGCATATCAAACGTCTACTAAGTCCGCTCCCACCGGTCTGCAGACGGCCTCGCTCACCGCCCAACATGCGCCGCGGTGATGAGGTGATGATGCACGAGTCAGATACGAGACGTCAGCTATCTGATTTCTCATTCCTTCAGTGGATAGGGGGCCAGCTCAGAGATAGGAGAGTGCCATTGCACCTCATCGCCACGACGAGGCAGACCCTGCGACCACCATGATTGTTTTTGTTGTCTGGACTCGGGCCACGTTCAGCTGGCAGGACAATTGTTCTCTTTTCCTGGGCATCAAGAACTTTTTTGGGATCGAGGCAGAAAGGATCAAGACTTGGCTCGTGCGGACTTGCTGCGACCGTTGAGGGTGGGAATATCAGCAGCAAATGAGCGTCGGACGATAAGAAGTTGGATTTGCCAATGAGATGGCCTGAAATGGGGATGTACACGCGACAGTTCCGCGATGGCCCAGTCGATCAAAAGGAACCTGGAAAACAATGGATGGACGTTGTTGCAGACCAGCACGAAGACGACGCTTGCAGCAGCAATTGCACTTGCCGCCAATGGTCTGATACTCTGGTAATCGGTGAATGATGAAAGGTGCGGCTGAATCATCGTGGTGGTGCCGTAGTGAAACCGCAAGTGGCAAGAGCATCGATGGCTTGCAGAGACGGTACTTTTGGACGAGGATCTCGCTCTCTCTCTCTTCAACTCTCTTACACGTGAGAATGAGAATCATCATACTGTAATGTCTCTCCGATGATGGGCGATCCCCCCCCTGTCAATCGTCTCCCCGATGTGGCTCCAGGACCCTTGGCGCACCCTGGCTCTCCAAGGCGATAAAGCCGGGCTTCCTCCAATTATGCATCGACTGTTGCCAACTTGAGATGCACAGAATGGCCGTCAGCTAGTCAGTGCGAGCAGACCCATAATTCCGCTCTTAGTCCCATCATAAATCGTTGTGCTATTACTGTATGATTTGGACCCTCCATCATAATTAATCCATGGTCGCCGCCGCCTCGCCTTGTCCCTACTATTATTGAGATCCTACGCCTCACCTTCCACCCACCACCAATATCACTCCTCGTGTGCTCCTTTATCCAGAAAGTACATTACAGTACCTCCAACTCCATATTCACTCCTGTTGTGCCACTCTTACTTTGATTGAGACATCTATCGCTGGGCTTATCAACTTCTCCGTCATTGCACGCGCCGGCCCGGACTGTGTGCTCCTAAAACATTTGGGAGACAAGCCACGATAGTATCATCCACACGAGCACCTTCCGAACGTTGCACACCTCGAAATACCCTCACTTTCACTCGCCCGCTCCCATCAGCAACGGTTGTCCCTGTTCAGATTTTTTATCAGCCATCAGGAACGTTTCCTGCAGCGTCACCGACCTTGAGATCGTTCCCTGTGCGACGGCGAGGCTGTAAATCATAGGCCTACGATACCCGCGGATCCAGAGTCTGACTCTCAAAGCTGACCAGACTCATTGTCGCATTGTCGCTCGACTCAGCAGACTTTATCTGGGCTCAATTTCATGCTTTCCCCTCCTGCAGATTACATCCCACCTTTTATCTGAATGTTTCTCGAGAAGGCGACCCACCAGATCTCCTACCCTACCTCTACCAAACTCGACGATAAGCCCCAATACCCTCAGAAGACCACGAAAGTGATGGCAACGGATTTCGCGATGCCTGTGCAACAGTTCACAGCATCGCCTTCCCAGTATACTCTCTACAACTCCCAGTCGCATCCAATCTCTCCCGTCAACTCAGCGACAGCCACACCCAACAACTCTTCACCGACTTCTCCACGATCGAATCCTCCCCCTCACCTCCCTGCACATACTCGACAGCTGCGACCACCGAAGTCTCCCTTGTATGTTCCTGCAGTTCTGCGACCAACAGATCCGCCGCGGAGGGTTCTGCGGCACTCGCCTTTGACACCGCCACAAAGCAAAGATAACAGCTTCGATGACCTCGAGAACGCGCGAGCACTGAGCAGACGGTCGACAGGAGACAGCGGCAAGTTTGGCTTGGGTGCAATAACTGAAGCGGAGTGGAGTGCAGAAGGACTCGGAAAGGTGACAGCGTTACCGACAAGAGAGCACTGGAAGGTATATTAGCAGATTTTCCTTGCAACTTCTATGAATGTGCATGTGCAGATATTGGATATGCGAACTCGATCCACAAGACAAAAGTCCGGGGCAGGACATATATTTATGCTCGTGTGCTCAGACTCATGTCGCAATACCCGTCCAGGTGTCGCGAAACCTGGAAGGGTATTGCGTGCTGAAGATGTTGCAATCGAATTAAACCATGCAAACAACACAACGCAGCATCGCTTGGCTAGGAATTTCGCTCGCGTGTCGAACAGAATTCTCCATCCATCAGCCCACGTCTCCTGCATCTACCCACGCCCGCAAGGCACTGGCTATTTTCTGATATTTCATAATATTCATTACGTTTCTTATGACAGCTGCTAATTACTTCTCTTCACAGCCTGACTCTGAATCATCTGTCTGCGACGACGCTACCTGCACTCGATACTTCGGCTACTTCACTCGTCGTCATCATTGTCGACGCTGTGGAAATATCTTCTGCGATACACATTCCCTCTACATCATCCCTCTTGACCAAGACGCCAACTACCACCCCAAAGGTACGAGAGTTCGCTCATGCGAGCATTGCTACACAGACTTTCGACGATGGACAATTGCACGATCGAGCAGGTCGAATAGTGAAAGTTCGCAACTTGGAGATGAACCTTCTACACCAACTGTGAATTGTGCTGGCAGAGCAAAAGGTGCAATGGGTAGTGTCTTTGGACAGAAGAACAATGGCACACCCGAGAGCCTTGCAGCAAGCGTCCCAAGAGACTGGAACTGGAGCACATTCTGAAGCAATTTTTTCCCTCAAGCATATATACGTACATAAACCCCCTCACCACGACGACACGGCCGACTCCATACACGATTTCCCTCCCCTGACAGGAACATACATACACGGCCAGTCAACTAGCTACGAGATTAAGGGTGGTCGATTCCATTTGAGCGAGCTTTGCTTTGCTATTGCGAATGCGAATACCCCGCACAGCTCTCGTTACTCGTTACGATACCTTCACGCTCTAAAACATCACAACCACGATTCCCTTCAACTTTCAAGTCCCATTAGCGACAGCGTTACGAGCCATAGAGCTAATAGAAATGACCCGATCTTCAATGATTGCTTGCTCATTTAGTCTTCCTCTTTTTTCTTCTTCCATGATGTATGTGTCGATTTAGCGGCGTGCGAGAATAGAACTTCGGGGACCGGCGTACAGGAGCGAGATTTTACTTTGCTTTACTTTGCTAGGCGTTTGGGGACTTGGTAATGGACTCGGTGGTCAGTCAGGAAGGAAGGCAATATCCATGACCGGACGGTGTTAATGACTTTGATTTTTTGATGGATGCTCGCTCGGCTGGGCATCTACTTTAGAGGAACAATAAACAAACGAATTTAGATTCTCGATCAACCTCCCTCCCTCTTCCCATCACAACTTTGACTCCGTGAAACTCGAATCTAGATCTCAACCCTGAATGTTCTATTTGTCAATGGGAGGTCACCCCCACCTGCAAACCCCTCACTAAGCAAGCGCACCGCGCTAGGAAAACGCCTCTGACTCGTGTCTGTGCATGCTAGCATGCTGCATGCAGAGAGAGATCCGCTTCTCTCAACGTCTTTCTGTCTGTTCGTTTGTTGGTTTGCATGTGTCAGTGTGAGAGAAGGAAGTAGGGAGAACACGTCCGTGCGAGATTTAGATTGACAGGGAAGATTGTTTTTAGACTTTGGTGTTAAGTGGGTTCCATTGAGAGTTTGAAAGGTTAAACGGCGGGATTGGGGGATTGGATTCGAGGGGATTAGGAAAGAGAAAGAAAGGAAAGGAAAGGAAAGAAAGATGGATAAGAGGGTTGAGGGGTATTTGGTGGGGAATAGGTGAGTTGATTCCTTCTTTGTGGTTTTGTTGTTTGGTAGAGGGCGGTCTGAAAAGAGTTCACTTAAAGTTTTTGGTTTTGTTGTTGCGTAGGTAGATGATCATAGGTGGGAAGAGAAGAGGAGGTCTGATAATGATGCTTTACTTTGAAGTTTGATAAGAGAGAATCCGTTCTGCATTCGTTCCAGAGTTGGAAAGGTTGATAAGGCAAAGCTCGTGGGAGTCTGCAACGTTGGAAGAGTTTGTTGGCTTGAAGAGGATGTGTATGTTTCGATTGAAGCATGATTTATCTCTTTTGAGTCTGTACCTTTACTTTGAGCTCTTTTCCTGTCAGTCACTATTTACCTTTCCTACAAAAGCGAATCACATGAGAGACTGATAAGAAAATCTTCTTAGGAAATGGGCGGCAAGTAAGGAATGCCAAGCCCCGATCACGTTCAAAGATATGCAGAAGAAGGGGAGGGATAGGGAGGATGGGACGGTTATTGTTGGTATGCTTTCTGTCTATCTATCTAAGTTTAGCCAAGTCTTGGCGAAAGTTTATACGAGAGACAAGTTGAATGATCCTAGTTGCATGTACCGATCCTCGAGTCACGCCTGAAGAATTTCTAGGCATGAGTACCGAGAAAGGGAACAGTACGTCGCTTAATTTCCAACCCCTTTCTGTTACTCCAGCTGAATTTGAGAAGAAGCGACTGTAGTGCGAGTAGCAGGCGGACGAGTCGATGCTGCTATGTGCTCTCTGCTTGTGTTGTCTGCGGTGGGGAATGCGGGGAAGAAAGGTGCTATTGTGGTGGTTCATCATACGGATTGTGGACTTGCTACTGCCAGTGATGAAGAGATTAGGAGTATTGTGATTAATAATGTGGCGGAGGGTGATAGAGGGGAAGCGAGAGCTCTGGTGAAGGGATTGGAATTCGGGAGTATTGAGAGGTAGGTCCGATGTCTTGCTGGGGAAAGGGAGGCTAATGTGATGATAGTCCAGAAAAGAGTTTAGAGGAAGACGTGGATAAGTTGAGACGAAGTCCGTTCTTTACTGGGATGCAGATCTATGGCTTATTGCAGGACACTGAGACAGGACTTTTGGAAGTAAAGTTTGACCCGTCGACTGACCTTGATACATAATTCCACCTGAAGGACCATCAACGCTTTCAAGATTTGTCGGTAGATGTAGCACACCTAAATATATGATATCCCCTTTCCTGATGTTACAATATTCCAAACGCCTCGCTGTCTATGAATCGATATCTCCACACTCCCCCCCTTCCCAAGCATCACCTCATAACCGGCGGCCTCGCCTCCTTATTCCACTTCACCCTACTCCGCACCCACTCCACCGCCTCCTTAACACCCGTCCCCGTCAACGCACTCACAGGTAACACCCTACTATCTCGAATACTACTCCCCTTCTCCCCCTCAAAAACCTTCTTTACCAACCCCTCCTTAATCCTCACAACTTCCACGCAATCCTCCCTATCCTGCTTATTGGCCAACACCAGCAACGGCACGCCCTCCGTCTCGCTATGCTGCAACACATCCTCCAGCACCAACCGGCATTCCTCCAACCGCCCGCTATTATCGTGCTCCAGGTTCCCGTCCCCGATGTCCGTGCTGTCGATCACGAACACGATCGCATGGCAGGACTGGTAGTATGATTGCCAGAGCTTGCGCAGACTGTGTTGCCCGCCGACGTCCCACATCTTGATGTACATATCTGGTAGCGTGACGGTCGTGACATTTTGGCCGACCGTGGGGACGGTTTTTAGTTTCGGCGCTGGGTTGGACGGGAGGTAGAGGGATTTGACTTGTTCGTGGAAGGTGGTCTTGCCTGCGTTGTCGAGACCTAGGAGCAGGACTGAGTATTCTGTCTCGAATCAGCATCTGATCAATTGAGGACAAGTGAGGTGGGGGTGATACCTTCTTTGCTGGTGGCATATAGATATAGTCCTTTAGCTAAGTGATACATCTTTGTGCAGATTCCGTCACCGCGTGAAGAGACCGTGTGAAGAAGACCAAGCCAACTCTGGATACAGTGTCGTCTTCATGGAGCTAGCCTTGTGCTGGTGATTTAGTCAAGGTGTCAACTGATTTGAGACATAGACCCTTGCTTTCCTGCAAGGCTGAGGCGTCGTTGTAGATCCCGCTAAGAGCCACACGTGATGACCGCCGTCATACCTGCATGGTTCCTTCCTAACCGCGTTCTAGACTAGAGCAGGTAGCCTTGAATGAATCTTGGAAGTTTGCAATGTTGAATTTCTTCCTCATTGATGTCGTTTGATTGATTACGTACCCTTTGATGAAGTGAGCTTCTGTTCTTTGCTTTTATGAAGACGTACACCCTCACGAGGCTTGCTCCGAGAGAATCGAAAATAGCTGAAACCGTCGTAGCGAAAGTATTGGTGAACGTCACTACTATGGCTCCCGTCGAGATCCATACTTCTCCTAGGTAAGTTTAGAGTCTGTCGCATGTAGCAGTCTTCTTAGACTGATCTTTTTGCAGCTATGTGCCAACGGCTGTGGTATTCTTCCACTTATTCGCAGTGGGCTATATATCAGCTATAGCTGCACGATCAATTTATCGGTCATATGTTGCTCTTCCTCCATCGTCAGCAACCAGACATCGAGAACCATTGCGAAAAGGCCACGTCCAGACTTTCTCCATATTGGCTCTTGTGAGCTTGGTTTTTGCTGGATACTATGCTTCTAGATTCGCCAGCCTTTCCTATCGAGTATGGGCTACTGAGAGAGGCATCGAACTTCCTACTGGGTATGCTAACTAAATCATCACAAGCAAACCAGAAAATGACTAATATCCAAGCAGTTTCTTCGGAGATAGAGGGGCACTCAGAGGCGGAGAGCATCCTGGAAGACTCCAAATTGTCACATGGCTCAACGATACACCTTACTACAGAGATGCTCTTGAAATCGTGACTGAAAAGGCCCGTCACTTTTGGTGGGGCCAGCAAGTCACTTTGGGCTTGATTTCGTGGAGCACGTATCTTGCTATCGAAGGCCAGAGACGAAACATCTCGAATATCTGGTCTTTCTTGGCACTTTCCCAACTAGTCAGCTTGTCATATGCGCAGAACTTATTCTTTGTGGCTATCCTACTTACTCCAGTTCCGTTGCCTGAGAATGTACGGGAGATTACAAGGACATCTGTGCCTGGTACTTCAAGCAGGTAAGTTGCACTCTCTAGTATTCTTATACCGCACGTATTCATTGATCATAGGTATACTCAATTATTGGAAAGAGTTGTACCAGCCAAACCAGAAGGATTTGTTCCAAGTCCGTATAGCTACGCAGTGCTACTTGCGTTGAATTTCATGGCTGTTCTTCTCACGCCATTTGCTGCTAGTAGGTCTCATTTTTTCAGGTCAATTTAGTTGCAGCTGAGACATCTGCAAGCGTGGAGAGAGAATACTAAGATCAACAGATACACCGTCTTTCATGAGCGTCGCCCTCCTTGCACGTGTCATACCGTTCTCCTTCCTTGCCCTACCTTATGTCATCCCAGAAAGCTGGGGCACAATCCACAGCCATCCTCACGACTCTCACGCAAGCTATACAAAACTTTTTCAGTACATCTCCGCATTTTCGGCTATCCTCCACCTTAAGTCAAGCTTTCTAGCGCTATTCTACAATATCCCGGACAGCACATACTATCGCCACAGTCTTCTCCATCCTTTCAAAGAAGAACATCGCTCCACATTTGATCGTAGTACCACCGCACTAGGCAGAGTCTTTGGAGCCATCGGTGAACACCCAGCTGTGAGCGCTCAAGGTTGGGATGTGTTGCTTTCAGGACTCACACTTGGTATCTGGGCTGCTATTAGGGGACTCGAGGCGAATGATATGTTGACATCGACTTTACCTTTCAGCGAGCTGCTTTTGAAGCCTGCGCAGAAGTTAGTCGAGGACACATCTATTGCTCTCAAAGAGGATGCAAAGGATGCGGTTGACAAGTAAGCTCTTTTCAATGTTCTTGATCTTCGGCCTATCTACTACGATAACCTCATACTTATCGACATGGCTAACTTCCGACCTAGTGTCGTATCACGAACGACTCGCCGTCGTCCCGGGCGTCCTAAGAAGCACGAGGAGATCGATAGCAATGTCCCGCGCCGTGGAAGATCCGCAAAGAAGGCTCTTGAGCTCACGAACGGAGTAGACGAAGATGATGCTGCTTACGAGCCAACTGAGAGTGATCCATTGGAAGGTGATGAAGAAACAGGGGAGGATTGGGAGATGGGTGCTTTGACATGGGGCTTACTCTCCGTTGGTGGATTAGGAGTAGGTACTGCGGCTGTCTATGGTGCGGAAGTGGTTGGCAGGTGAAGGGTGAATATGGGATAGGAACGACTCAATGACGAAATGCAATATGGTACTGTAAAGCAGGGCAATTATAAGTGATTAGTAAAATTTGATGCTGAGTATGGGCGTTTATTGTTATTGGCTGGAACGAGCAGCCTGGTTCTCGTAATGCATGGGAATGAATGATACGACCCATGGCTATCTGATACTTGTCGTTGAAATGATATGCGGAGGCACTGTGAGGAAACAAATCCAAGCTCAGCTCGCTCAAGTTCCTCTTTGACTCGTCTTTGGATATCATTGGAGAGGGAATCCGGACATCTCAACCACCAGGCCTCATACCTCCTGCCTCTTTGTCAAAGTTCACTTCATATGTTAGATCACTTCGGTCACAAGAAGTCACATCACTCAAGACCCGAAAGTTTATAAAGTATGATTGATCGATGATTGCATTCCTTTCTACCTAGCAAAACCACCACCACGAGCAGCCACGTCTAGCCATCCATCCACCAATCATCATCAAAATCATCTCTCGATACCGGCAGCCTGATCATCGTCATAGTTGCTCGCTCGCAGCAAAAGCAAGCAAACGTGCAATAGGGTATCATCGCAAGCAGAACGCTTTCCCTCCAACGCCACTATGATACAATGCTTTTTGTTTTGCCGGGTCCTGTAAATATGCAGTAAAGTTCCCTTTTTTCTGTGAAAAGCTCCGCCAATGTGCAAGGAAATTGAGGGGTATGTGCAACGCAAATTTGTAATCGTACAGACGTGAGTGAGATTCTTTTTTTCAGTCTTTCTTTGGAAGAGGTGTGTTTCGAGATGAAGCACGCGAGCTCTGACGTCGACGGTTCCTCGTTTCGTCGATCTGTCTCTGTGCCCAGGTCGGAAGTCGAGGGGTGCGAGCTGGTGAACGTGCAGAAGTAGCGATTTCGACATCGCCTCGAAGACGACGATTCTTGTTCACAAGCTCGAGGACTTCGGCGTCGTTTTTGGGGTGAGAGACTCTTCGCATAGAAGTGGAAGAAGAGTTGTTTTTCGGGGGTCGAGTAACGGGGGTACGCAAGTTCTGTACGGGCTGACGGATTGGTTGACGGGCCATCGCGGTGTACATTGCGGACTAGAAGATTGCGAATTAGCATTTATGGATCTCCGATGAATTTCTTGATCATTTGTCTATAAAGAGAATCCTTGGCGGGGAGTGGCTCGCTGATTGGAGAACGAGCTCCAGCGTCTACTGAGACCTGCTTGCTGTGATGATTTTGTTGAGCTCTTTCAGTAAGTTCTCCTTGTTCCCAATCTTTGCAGAGAGCAAGGAGGTCTTCTCTGGTACCTTTAACACCGCCCAAGTGGCCCTTCAGGTAAGTCCGGAGGGCACTTGTTTCCCAAGAATCAAAGTCCAGCTCAGATGGATATTGAATTCTTGTTTCATGTGAAGAGCTAGATGCTTGATTGGGGATCTGCACATTGCTAGGTGACTGTGGACCAGTAATTGTTGAGGCAGAGTCCTTATTGACTTCAATCTGAGACTTCAAGACTTCTGCCGTAGAGGAAGAATGCTGCAACTCTGGAGAAAGCGAGGAAGAATCGGGGACGCATACTTGTTCATTTTCAATCTGTCCGTTGCTGCTCGAAGAGCTGGGTGCCGGCTGGTCTAGGAAGCTCATCAGAGGTCGAATAAAATCTTCAACACTCAACTCGGAGGTCACGATTTGTCGACATGACTGGGGGTCGTTCTTGAGCGCATCGTAAGCTGCGCGCTTGAGAATCATACGGTCTCTGAGTCCGGCAAGCTTGGCGTGGATAAATTTCTGGATCTCGTTCGCCTTCGTGTATGCCTCCTGATGAGATAGTGGATAGTTCTCAATGGATTCAATTGCCGCTAACAGAAAATGCTGCATTGAGACCATGGGCTTCTTCTCGGTGACTTTATGAACTGGACGACCTGAAACGCCCGGCACTGGAGATGGAGAGCTTTGAGACTTCTCTCGTTGTGTAGAGCCGCCGAGGATAGGGGACGACGGTCCTCCAGGCGCATCTGTGCGAACGAGTTTTTTTAGTGTGCTGTTTCGACCGGAAGCAGAAACAACAGATGTGGTGTTAGAAGCAGGCGGCAGCGATTGCGCATCCACTTGAGCTTCAGTTTGCGTGGGTGCCTGCCCAGGAGCTGTTACTGTGGAATTGCCGATTGGAGTAGCGACTTTCGGTACTTGAGTCAATGGAGGTATGATTCGAGTTTCCTTGTTGACTAACGAAGTCCCATTACCTTGAGCACTTGTCTTGCTGTTTGGACCAAACGTGTGATCTTGATTTGCTGACACATTTGACTGACGGTGAGCTTGATTTTGATATGGAGATGCATATGCATATGAGATCGATGGACCGGCAACTGTTCCTAGATATGGCGCAACTTGAGGAGCTGGGGATTGGCGTTGTCGCTGGTAGTTGTTTGGGTTAGAACGGCGCAAGTTCGTCTCGGACTGTGGTCGCTGCACATCTTGATATCTGCCCGGGTCAGAACGGCGCAACTTCACGTCGTTTTGTTTTCGCTGCATCTCTTGATATTTGTTTGGATCAGAACGACGCAACTTCGCCTCCAACTGAAGAAGCTTGACCTCCTTTTCTTCCTCGGCTGTGAGTTTATCATTGTCATCGCGCTCGAATGTATCGGTCTGTACGATGCCACGAATGGTTGACATCTGTCCTTGAGTTGCCAATATCTTATCGAGTACCTCTGGATCCATACCCTGGAATTCAGATAAATCCAACTGAGGAACATCCTTTGGCTCGTACAGATAATCGCCAAGGCTCTTCTTGGCGTAAGCGACTGGAGTCCTCTTGTCGATAACTCTTGATGCTAACTGCATCTTGAAGACAGTCTTATTGTGTATAGATGTCTCAAAAGTGCCGCCGGTGACAAAGCGATAGACGTATGTAGTTTTCTTCTGGCCAATTCGGTATGCTCTGCCAACAGCTTGCTCTTCCTTGGTGGGATTGAATTTGAAATCAAAAATGATAACACGGTTCGCGCCTTGGAGGTTCAATCCAAGCCCACCAGCTCCTGTCGAGATCAGGTAGACATCTGTCGCGCCTTGATTAAAGTCCTTGGTCATTTGCTGTCGGCGGCCCATCTTGGTCTTGCCGTCAAGTCTGGCATAATTTCTGCCCTGTTTCTTGCAGAGGTTCGTCAGATAGTCCAAAGTCGGGATCGATTCTGAGAAGACCAAGGTTTTATCTCCTGCGGCTTTGGCAGCATCTAAGATCTGACACATGATTGTCACTTTGTATGAGAGATCGATAGAATCGATTTCAGGGACTTCCTTCTCAAAGAGACCCATCTCTTCTGCGATGAGGTTTGCCGAAACGCCAACCTTCCAGAGTGGCGCATTGACGTCCACAGCATCAGCCTCTATGCCGTCTCCTAAATCACTGTTTCCATTGACTGAGATAAGAGTCTTTCGCGCATCCTCCTTACGTTCAAGCAGCTTAGCCTTGAAACAAGCTGGGTGATTGCACAAGAGTGACAAAATCGCGAGCCAGTGCCATATGGTAGTTTGAGCGATATCTCCGGATTTGGTCGTCGAATAAGCATTACCTTGAAGCATCGACCGGACGTACAAAGTATATGCTTTCTTTTGGAGTTCTGTCAATGGTACGGTGATGACGAACTCCTTCTTCGGTGGTAGATCATGCTTGAGTACGGACATATCGGCTCTGTTTATCTTTGCAGCAAGGTCTTCGTTCAAGACTTTGAGCATCTTGAGTGATCTTCGACGCTCAGAGTTGCTGCTATCTTCGTATAGTCCAAGCTCGATTGGATCGACGTATTTATACTTAAATTCAGTGGAAGGTCCAAGATAGCCTAGAGAAATTAGTTTGGAAAGACATCATGGAATGATAGAACTGACCAGGCGCCACGAAATTGATCATCGCGTAATACTCTTCGAGTTTGTTTGCCAAAGGAGATCCTGTGAGTGCAATACGACTCTTCGTCCGAAACTCCTGGGCGGCTTTGGTTACTCCAGCTTCAGAGTTCTTCAACATGTGTGCCTCGTCTGCAACCACGATATTAGGGCCTTCTGTCAGATGTCGTTTGACCATTTCATGATCTTCAGCCTCAATAGTCTTCTTCTTGTTTTCCATGATCAGGGAATGCATGCGGTATCCCATCAACAGAATGCCACCATCCTCGTACCAGTCCGCGATTACCTGGAGACGTTCGGGCATCTGGATGGAGGTATCAACTTTGCGGATTTCACCGAGGATATCTTGGGGAGCCCATGTCAAGATTTCGTCAAGCCAATTATCGAGTACAGAGGGAGGACACAAAATCAAGGTCTTTGATACCTGAAGGCTCTTGGGGATCTGGCTGGAAATAGACTCTTTGATACTGGAAGCTGCTTCGGCGATGGCTACCAGAAGAGTTATTGTTTGCATAGTCTTGCCAAGTCCTAGACGATTTGTGAGTGAAAGGACACGCAGTGCAGTCAGTTGGAGTTAGCGAAGTCTTACCCATAGTGTGTGCCAGCAAGCAACCTTGCATTGACTCTTCTTCGCCAACAGTAACAATCTGGTTCCACAAGAATCGCACGCCCTCGATCTGATGTGGCTTGATGCTCCCAGCAATATGACTATGAACTCGGATGGAGCTATCCTGATCATCTGTTGCATTGATCACGAGGCGAGCAAGATCTAAATCTTCGGTTCGACCAGACCTAACAAGCCTCTCTTGTAGATTCTTGCGACGTTCTTCTTGTTGGGATTGACGTGCCTTGTCTGCTTCGCGGCGATCTCGCGCAGAAACGTCTTCGTGGACTTTCTTCTTGCGCTTGAGACGCGAAGATACCTCGGATTCAAGCGCTTCACTAGTGCTCATACTAAAGATAATTAGTCACCAATCTTTGAAAGGACTAGATGAGGACACTTACGTGGTATCTCGACGACGCTTGACAGACGAGCGGGGAAGATCGTCATCTTCTTCAATTTCGCTAGAATATAATAGCTCCTTGATCTTTTCGTGGCGTGGGGGCTGCGAAGGAGTAGTCGGTGCTGATGTTTGTTGATAGCTGCTGAAGAACTCCTCCATCTTGGAACAAAGCTTCCAAAAGGAGAAGAAGAATTTTTCTGCGCCATCTAAGACATTGACTAGCATCTTCAGCCTCTCCTCTTTGCTAGGAAATGGGCTAAGAGGTTCATATACACCATTATGGCCCTTGATGAAAATGTGAAACAGTTCGATGAACCGGGTGAAAATGTCGAAATCATCCTGCTCCATACTCGCTACGCTACTCATTCCAGTATTCATCGCGTTGACGACCTTCTTCATTCTCGTCAAGAATTTGTTTTGGCTCTTTTCAGAAAAACCATGTGTGGCGATGTAACGGAAAAGCTTGGCTCTCGGAGCAGGGGCCATGTTGAAGAAGACCTTGATCAGTAGACGGTCTGCATCAAGCAATTTAGTCCATACTGCATGGCTATATCTGTTGATGGCAGCGGGATCATCAAAAGGAGGTAAATTGTCCAGATCTGGCATTGTATTATTGCCAAGAACAGGCGTGTCAGATCTTGAGTTCCGGAAAGGAGAGTCTGGATTTCTAAGTTTCAAAGTTGGCGTAGATCTCGATTTCTTATACACCTGAGACTTCTTCAATTTGGCGTCCACTTCCGACTTCTCGGGGGTAACAAGGTCAATAACGGATGGGGATGTCATCGTGAGATCTATATGATCCTCAAACAGATCAGAGGTGTCCTTCGATCTCGATGGTGTTGACATTCTGATCTTGATTGGTGTGCTCATGTCGTTCGGTGGGCTTGAGAAGATATCATCGGCCAAGCGACGGCGGCCAGAGGCACGTGGTGCTTCGATCGAAGCTTGGAGGCTTTTGCTTGGAGTGTCAGGGTCTGCCACAGGACTAGTGGAATATTCGGGGCTGGAACGATCAGGACTGGGGTGTGCTAAAATGCCAGCTTGTTGTTCTTGGTCCTGCTCGTCTTCAACATCGGCATCTGGTAGGTCTTCCTCATCGGATACAACGAAGTCACTCAAGTCCTCTTCTGAATCGTCAAGGTCTTCGCCCTCACTATCACTATTTATTGCCTCTCCCTCTTCGTCGCTAGTACTTTGTTGCTTACGCTCGCGAAGTGACGAGTTCTTGTCTGGTTTGGCCGGGGCAGTCTTGGCCTGAAGAGTTGAAATCATCCATCTTGTCTTGTTGATGCCAAACACGGTATGCTCCAGGGCTCCACAAACTCTGCGAAGCTCAGACTTGCTTGACCAACTTTGAGACATGAAATCTTTGCGCCACTCTTCAAGTCGGTTGGAATCGTGATCAAGATCTCTTTGTTCTAGGAGGATCTGTTCATTTTTGCTTCCTTCTTTACGAGCCTTGGTCCAAAGATACCATGCCTTTCGCTGAAGTTTCGGCAGCTTCTTCGACTCCCACCGTGACTTGAAAACTGCCAGAGCATCATCGATCACTCGATTGATTTCTTCAGGAAGGATTGACTTCTGTGTTTGCTTTCTCAATTGGCGCACGGTCTTCATAGCTTCTTCCCCAGCCTCTTGGCATATTTCCTTCCAAGTTTGCTCGTCATAATCATCTTCTGAGTCTGATTCACCGTAGACAGCTAAGAGTTTGTCCTTTTCTGGTGCGACTTCATACTTCTCGGCCAGCTTGTCATAGTATTCGTCGGGGTCGAGAGCTTCGAAAGAGCCTGCGAAGAATTTTGCATCGCCTTGGCCTTTTCTCACGGATTTTGGCTTCATCAAACCCCGATAAGTCGTCTCAAAAGGCAGATCTTTCCCAGACGCCGGGCCAGGCCAGCCATAGAGACGAGAACTCATTCTTCGACTGGCTCGTTCCGCACGCTCACGCTTCTCGAGCTCCTTGATTGCAGGTACCAGACCTCGTTCGGCATGAACCTCGCCTTCGTCATCTGTATAAAATACCGTGCAAGAGGGTTCTGGTCGTAGCACAGTGACTGACGCGTCTAGAAGGCTGTCACGATAAGGCCGAACGACGGTGAACTGCTCTGTCGCATTCTCGAATTCTTGAGGCTTATAGCGCAAGAACGACTTCATGCATCTATGAACGTAGGTCCGGTGGCTGGGAGGAACGTTGCAAGGTAACATCATAATTTCAGTACTTGCTTCAGGGTTGGTCAAATCCTCACCAACAGCTGTGCCTTCATAGAAGATGTCATCGACATGAAGTTTGGTTTTTGGCAGATAGAAAGACCTAGCAATCTTCTTGGAAACCAGTTCCTGTCGCTGATTGGTGCCACTGCTGGACGGTCGGTTCTCTTTATCGCCCGTGACAATTGTTGAAAGGTTGTTAAGATGCACTTGTTGCCGTGTTGGATGTTGTTGGTTCATCTGGCTATGCTCGGATCTAGCAAGAGCTCCGACAACCTGCTCCTCTGCTCGATCATGGGAAGCTTCAACTTCTTGACTGATGTCATGGGAATCATCGCCATCTTCTTGAATGGGTGTAGAATCGGGCTCGATATGGCTATGCTGACTTGAGGCTTGAGCGAGCTCAATGCCAATCTCGACTTCTGAAGCATCCTGAATCACAGATGTTGATACTGCAGTTTGGTCGCTTGAAGCGCCACGCAAAGCAAGATCTTCAGCCTTAGCCTTTTCATAATCAGCAGTTCTTTGCGCAGAATTGGGACCAAGGAAGCTCGGAGCAACGCGCTTCTTGCTAGCTTGAGTAGAAAGGATTGCAATCCGAGGGGCCTCCTGTTGATCGTTGTCGACGTTGGCGAGAGGTTCTTGTTCTGCAGGGGAGTTGGAACGCTTTCTCTTGTTGCTACTGCTTGGTGAGGCAGGCTCAGGATTTAGGCCGGACTTGGGAGTTTCATCTCGGGCCTCGCGCAAAAGGTCTTCCTCGCGATCAGTAGCAGTAAATTCCAAACCGTGCGCAATCTCTTCGTCATGGAGTGCGGTACCGGCAAATGTGTCGTCAAGCTTCTGTCTCTTGCTACTAGGTTCTTCTGGGACCAAGGTTGTGTCTTGAGATGTCTGGTTTGCGTCCTCGATAACATTGGGTCGTTCTGGAGGCCCCATCTGAGTTGAGGGAGGTCCTCGTGAGAGCTGGTTTTGAGAAGCCAAAGGCCCATCAAGTTGTGCAGCTTCGATAGCGGCCTTCAACTGTTCGAGTTTTGAGGATGGTTGGGCAGCAAGGAGTTGCCGCAGTTCGGCATCGGAGTATGTATCGAAAATCTCAGTTGGGGTACGCAAGTTGTGGTTTCGTTGCGGCGCAGGTTGTATCAGACTTCCCGTGGGGCCGGCTTCCAGTCCGAAAAGGGCTTGTTGAAGTGGCAGGAGGGCTGCGGAGACGAGCTCGGCGCTCTCTCTGATTCTTGTTGGGATCTCCGTCGTCAATTTCTGGTATTCAGCACTCAGCTGCCTGAATTTGTCAACTGCGTCAAGTACGAAAACTCTGCGTCCGAGAGCCTTAACACCGTGTTTCTCCAGAAAATCGTGATTGACATTCGTGAGAAGCGTCGAGCCATCGACTTCCTGCTCTCTGATGATTCTTTCCATCAAGACAGGGTCGCCGACAGTCAGATTGCGAGAGCGGGGTGTCCATGATCTCTTTTCAGGATTGCACAGCTCTTGCACAATCCTATCCACGGACCAATCCCATGGGTCTCCCACGGAGCCTGAAGCCATGATGCCCAAGGCCCATGAGTCTGGGGTAGAGGAAGCTTGGTGTTGAGCCTGCCAATCAGGACAAGACAGCGGGACCAGCTCGAGCCAGCGCGCAACGGAAGAAGAGCGGTAACCTGTGGGATTTGGTTTAGCCATTGCGTTGAAGCATAGATGTTAACGAGGAAGACGTTGCGAAAATGATTGCAGAAGATTGAGGGGGAAGCGGATGGTGCGGGGATGGAATTTTGGACATGAGATTTTGAAAGTGCGTTGAGATGACGAGTGCATGAAATTTTTTTTGGCTGATGCAATTGTGATGGTTTCGATGCAGTAAGGCTAGGAGGGGGTGGCAATAGACACATGGTTGGACATTGAAGGTGAACTTGTGAAGGTGAGGCTATTGGTAAAGGTGAGTATATGTATACGTACGATAGTCAAATGTCCGACAAACTCAGCAAAACTCGAAGTCTAAGCTTTCGGGACACATGTGAAGGGATTTTCTGGAGTATTCTGATATTGGGTTGCGATCGTAAAGGTAATTATGGCTCACAATCCGTCAATGAGGGGGTCGAAGGGGATCTCGAGTTCACGAGGTGACTGTATCACAACGAGCAGATACAAAAGAAGGATCCTGAGCGTCCTGAGCGTGAGCGACGGGAGAGATCGAAAGAATGAGGTCGTTGATCGTGGTAGAAGAGAACAAGAAGAGTCCAGAGGAAGGAAGGGGAGGGTATGGAGTCGATCTTGATACGCGCCTCGACGCGACCTGAGGTCTATCTTATCATCACGGGAATACCGAATGGGGACTAGCTCAATTATAATCCCACCATTGGGTCAAAATTGAAGGTGAACCCATGTCTTACAAAGCAAGGAGATAGTTGGTCCTACCTAGAATTCGTTTGCGCCTGGTCTTCTTCTCTGTCTCTGTATCTCAGATCTGCACCCAAGGCTTTACTGAGCTGCTTTGATTTGCAAGAAAATATTCTCTTGTTCACTTTCAAATTTTGAACTTGAGAAACCAGCCTTCTCAAAATGGCCCCCAGCAGAGCTTCTGATGACGTATACCCTCCGACTTTGTCGACACTAGATGCAGAACATTTACTTTGTACAATCAAGGACTGGTCTGTGGCTCATGGACTGACTGTTCGACCACCACTGTCTGTCGTTGCGGCCGAGGCAGATCCTCATGGAATTTTAGCTACTACGGCACCCGTCACATTATTTCCAAGCCCATTTCCCAAAGCTTGCTTTCAGCAAGCCAAGTCTATTCAAAAAGCCTACAATAGTTTATATGCTGCAATTGCACAAGATGAGATCTTCTTGAGAGACATCGTACAAGAGTAAGCTCAGCATCTGATTTTTGAAGTTGAGGTTACCATTTGCGTCATGCCAGTAGACCAGGAAACTAACCAGTAGCAGAATTATAGAAGTTGACGACTTTATTGCAGAGCTATGGCAGGTACATCTCAAGGTCAAAGAAGAAGGGTATAGCCAGGTATGGTCATACGATGACCTAGACAAACTTTTGCTAACATATCCAAGAATCTTTCCTTGGGCTTGTTCCGTTCTGATTACATGGTTCATGAGGCGACTTCCGATTCTGCGCCGACCATTAAACAAGTAGAATTTAATACGATTGCTTCGTCATTTGGAGGCCTGTCTGCGCAGACCTCAAAATTGCATCAGTAGGTCATGCCTGAGTATTTGCCATGACGCAGTGGAGAAGTCTGAAATGTTATCGTGTGACTAACGATTCCAGTTTTCTTGCCAAGAACAATTATCCACTGCTTGACAAACCTCTTCCGACCGGTGATTTAGAACTCCCAGAAAACAGTAGCGCAAAAGGCCTCGCAACAGGAATTCTAGTTGCGTTCGAAGCATACAAAAATCTCATCGAACCTCTCCATGACTCCTGTGTAGTCTTCCTCGTGCAGGATCCAGAGCGCAATATCTTTGACCAGAGACACCTCGAATATGAGATACAAGAACAAAAGCCAGGAGTGCCTGTTTTCCGACTCCCGTTCGCCGAGATTCTCTCAAGAACCTCGATAGCAGAGACACCAAAACGTCAATTACTTTATCAATTGCCCAGCAATCCCAAGAAAGTCTTCGAAGTTGCCGTCGTTTATTTTCGAGCAGGATATGGACCAGGAGACTACCCCGATGCAGATGCGTGGAAAGCACGTTTGCAGATTGAGCGTTCACATGCCATCAAATGCCCAACGATCCTCACACAGCTTGCCGGCGCCAAGAAAGTACAGCAAGTTCTCGCTACTCCTACCTCTGATTCGACACCTTCCATCTTGAATCGTTTTGTGAAGGACGCACCCAAAGATATCGAAGAGCTCGAAAAGACTTTTACCAACATCTTTCCTCTGGACGACTCACCTTCTGGTCTCGAAGCACGGAAAATGGCTGTTGACCCCGAAGCTTGCAAGGGCTATGTGCTGAAGCCGCAGCGAGAAGGAGGAGGTAACAATACCTACAGATCTGCGATCCCACCCTTTTTGAAGTCGCTGCCGGAAACACATTGGAAGTCTTACATCCTCATGGAGATTATTACACCGCCACCTGTTCACAACATCATCCTTCGCAATGGTGCTTTAGAGCAAGGAGGTGTAATTTGCGAGCTTGGAGTCTATGGTACATGTGTGTGGAACCAAGAAACGAAAGAGGTGCTGCATAACGAGGAAGCTGGGTACTTGCTGAGAACGAAAGGCGATAAAAGCGAGGAAGGTGGAGTTGCTGCTGGTTTTGGTAGCATGGATAGTGTCAGGCTGGTTTAGAGATGATTTCCTGGCGGAGGTATTGCTTTGCGGTTCTGCTACCCGCTAGGTTGGAAGTGAAGTCGTCATGGTACGGTCGAAATGGCAATTGGACTTCCATATTTGACTAGAAACAGCACAAAAAAAAATTCCATTGGCCAATGAGATCAGCGATTTACGATCGCTTACGACTAGTCTATCATTCAACGGATTTATGTCGAGGCTATACGGCTCCCAAGCAGCCTTATTCCTCTTGTTGACGATAGTCCGATTTGGGCTAGCTCGCACTCCCGAAGCTTGGCTTATAGAAACAAATAAGCATTCCCTTGTCGCAAAAAACAGAAAGAGGGTATATGAGCAGTAGTGCGGCCGAATGGTCGAGTCCACAAACAATCGAAATCAGATTCTTGTTTCCTGCGAAGATGCTTACTCATATATTACTCGCTTGAATCTGTTAATCCCCCTAGATAATCGTGGCTGGTATCTAGGAATCGGTTTTGCAGTTTTTATCCTTTGAATTTGCTTAGTGAATGCCTTTTTTTGAGCAGCGGAAGGCGAACATATTGCGCTTGCAAGTTATGTTTACATGCACTTTTCATCTGATGCATTTGTTTACATTTTTGCCAATGATCACTTTTATTCTGAAGCTTGTACATTTACATCAGACGTTTGAAATCTTCGACGGCGATGGCACCGTTGAGGAGAGCGGCGAAAAACGAGTTGACTAGCATGATAGACATGTGAAGTGGGGCTCAGATCAAAAGTCTGTTTCATTTGGCGGGACCAGGAGATGTTGAGAACATTATTGTAGCACCGTGTATAAGATTTCCTTGTGAATGTTATGCACACAGTGTTCTCTAGCCCAGGAAGAATAGCACTTAGAACCTGAATGCGTTCCTAGATCTAGCTACCTTTTTATAGATACATGTGGCACAATGACTTTACTTTTGGAAGGACACTACAGCTCGTTGAAACTTTAATCATTAGAGAAGAATGCATGCACGTGCAGATTTTGTTCACCGCAACTGGAGGTGTTCCCTCTCGGAGGTGTGCCGTGTAGTGCATTATACCTTCCTCAATTGATAGGCTCACACACGTCACTTCAGCAGCACAAAAAGAAGTTATCAGAAACAAAAACATTTATACATTCAATATGCTACACACAGTAGCGTCGAACTCTATGTAAGCTCCAGACAACTACATCTCCTTCATTCCACTCGCAAAGACGTCTAACCGTCCAAACCTCCAGCTATCTGCATAGCTTAGGTCTCTATCTCCAGTCCCGAAGAATTAAAGAGTCTCAGAAGCCTGAGCAGCAACTTGTTCTGCCTTCTCCGTGTTGATGTAGAAAAAAAGGCAATCTCTGATCTCGCGACTCAGAGCCACGAACTCGTGTGAGAGCGCGTCAGTTTCAGCCTTCCAGGAATCGTACGAAACCGTGTGGCCAAGTGGGTTGGAGAAGCTGGGCTCCAGATGAACCTCAGGAACCAGAGCAGGAAAGACACGAAGAGCAGCAAGAGTAGGAAGAGCAGGAACACTTTCTTCCTCCTCTGGCTTCTTGTTCAGGACTTCCTCCCACAAGGGAGACGTATCAACTCGAAGTGGAGAGCTGGGCTCCGGAGTCTCAGGAGCCGGAGCTGGACGAGCCTGTTCGGGCTTTGTCTTCTTGCTCATGACTCTCGGCCTCTTGGAAGACGAGGGAGCAGAGATATTTTGCTTGTCATTAGACTTGTTCATGTTAGAGTCATGGCCGCGCTTTCCTGGTTTTTGCAATGCTGGCTCGGGGGTAGCGGTGGCCGAAGATCCTTGGGCTGCTTGTTCCTGTGCAGCTTGTCTAGCCGCTTCTTCCTCTGCTGCTTTTCTCTCTGCTGCCGCTGCTTTTGCCTTTTCTACCGCTACCGCTGCCGCCACTTCGGCCGTGGTTGCGATTCGAATCAACTTGGAAACCTTACCGGGCATTTCGATGCCCGTGAAAGTAGTTCCAGTGTTGCAAGGAGAGAACTTCGCCCGAGACGCTGAGGGCTTTGAACGCTTTGAGGGCTTTGAGGGTTCCTTGTCTTTCCCTGTCCATTCCCTGCCCATCTGAATAAGTACAGCTTTGGTCGCCTTGCCGCCAGGCATGCGTGCGAGGATGCAATACGCCATGTATTCCATGCTTGGCCTGGTCTTTGAACAAAGACGAGGTTGCGAGGAGTGTCCTTCGATGGTTCGAGGACCAACGTCATACTCTCCGTGCTTTAGACCCAGTCTGGCAAGCATGCCTGGTTGGAAATCGATTGCCCACTGAGGAGTGTCTTGCCTAAGCACGTACTCATATGAGACGTGGCTCCACAACGCAGAAGCATCGATGGGAGGCTGGGTTGTCTCAACAGCTGCCGGTGCAGTTGCTGGCTGATTGATCGGAGTGAAGGTCGACATGTTTCCAGGTGCCGTCAGGCGTCTGCCTGGATGGATCTTGATACGGGGACTGTTGCTCTCAGTATCGTATGTTGTTTGGAAGAAGATGTGTTGTGGAAAAGTAGAAGGGACGAAAAGTCAGTAACATATACAACTGCTTGTTATTTGGACTGACTATCTGACTTACTCACTTACCTTTGGAGGCAATAGTACGATGTCTATATGGACTGAAGTTGTTCAAATATCTGGGCCCGGGTGGTTGAGTGTTCCCTGACGTGGCATGGTTGAATTGGGATATGGACTGGAGGTTGAGGGCTAAGGCCTCGCTGCTCTGAGATTTGGGGTTAGAGGTTGCTGAGAAGTCTCTAGCTTGGCATGGTTGATTGGGATTTGGACTGGAGGTGAGGGCCAATTGGAACATAAGACAATATTGTCACAGATTTTGTGTGACGATATCAGTGGGCCAGTCCTAAGTATAGGTTAATATTTGAGTGATGAAGAGAAAAACGGCTTGAAAACCCTCCTACCTCAAACAATTAGCTTTCCTCACTCATATTGTCCCACAAGCTCTGGAATAATATTTTCTTGTATCCCAGGTACTACGGTATAACGTAGAGGACTTCGCAGATAGTCTTGCGCATAGACAACTACTGTATGAACATCACTATTGACTGGGGACACCGAAGGTCTTTGGAAATCGCTGCGCTTCTGCTCCCGTACTTCGCCATCTGGCCATTGACTTAAGAATGATACCTAGAAGAAGCATTCAACATACAAAAGGAATCAGAAGAGAAGAGTGGTATTGGTATTGACTCAATCAAACAAACAAATATGTTCCGACAAAACTTATGCCTCCATCCCTCTCGCCTTTTCCCACGTATCAAACCTCTCCTCTCGCTTCCTGATTACAACTCCAACAGATTCGTACAGACATAGCCATCGTGTAGGTAGTATATTTTTACAAGGTCTTTAATGCGCAGCTGCAGCTTCGGGTGTAGCTTCAGTCTCAGCAGGCTTTCTGTAGGCCAGGACTTCGAGTGTTCCTACCACATGTTAGAAAGGAATTAACCCTGGCGGCTCGGGGGAGGACTAACGCTCAACGACGCTCAACGAGCTCCGATTTTTGCCTTCTGCGTCTTGGTATTGTGAAATCGAAGCATCGCCCTCGACATACACAAGCGTCCTATCAACCACACACACAATTAGCCACTTTCTCCTCCCTCCACAAGAAAATGGACAAGATATAAGTACCCCTTCTCTAACCCCTGCCTAAAATCCCTTCCAGCACCCTCGGGCATAAAACTCGTAACGTTGAAGAAACTGGTCTTCTGGTTATCGCGCGGTCCGTGGGAAGTCGCAACGCTGTATTTCAGGATCTCCCGCCCGGTCGAGGTAGCTTGTAACTCGGGCTGAGCGACGAGACGGCCGACGAGGGTCATTTTTGCGAAGCTGGAGGAGAGAGGGGTTGTGGAGAAGGTGCGGCGGATTGAGGGGAGGGTGCGGAGGGTCGTTTGGCGGAGGAGGGTGGACATTTTAGCTGGGCGTTTGGTGGGATTGGTGGGAGGGTAGATGGAGATGGGGTGAGGATGTTGAGATGCGTTGCGAGGGTGGGAGATGCGGGTTTGGAGGGTGGTGATGAGAGGCGCAAATGGAGAGTTAATTGAAGTCGCGTCGCGTTCGAGTTCCCCTATCTGCCGGGACGGATAAACTAGATGGCCGGTAGCTCAACACGTGAATATGTGAATTGTTATAATGGAGGAATAGGCTCTGCTCCCCCGCTTAAAATAGTCTCCTAGATGGCATACATGAAGCCGCTGTTCTTCAGTTGCGTTACTGGGCGAACAAGTCTTTTACTGCTTGGGGTAGATCACGTGATACCATCTGTTTTCGAGAATCGAGTATATTCAATAAGAATACAAGTGACTCTTGTTGCATTCCATAGCTAGAAGCTTTGTAACAATCGTGGTTGTAGGAGGGCAAAAATTCTCCCTTGGGTATAAACCCTAGCAGTTGACCATGTGGCTAACGCTGCGATATCTCTCACCAGACAGAGAATACATGGGGACTTTTGGTTGCACATTTACGGAGACTCTGCGTATAAGGAACATGCCCTGTCTATAGAGAAACCCCTCTCCTCATAAGGAACATCATGGTATATAAGAAACTCGCGGCTACTGTCTTGGGCAGCTAGGGCCCCAGTGAGATGGCTGCCAACAGCTCGATACAGAGATGGCCATTGTCCCAAGAACTTTTCCGACCAGAAAATCTCCACATTGGTTTAGGAGAAAGGTACAAGGTTTCCATTTGGATTCGATCGTAAAGCCGCCAAATGCAACATGGTACCTGTGAACTTCCCACCTGTTATTTGACCAGGACAGTACCAAAAATATCCCATCTTCAAATCATATTGCGGAGTGTTATGCAACCTCGACAACGGGACCGGTTCTTAGAGTGGCATGTGCGAAGAAGCAAGAAGGCTTGCATGGAGATCTTCAAGGAGGACCCATGGTTATGGAAGTTGGTGGCGGTTTATAGGGGTTCGATAGATAAGCTTAAATTTGATGTACAGCGGGACGCTTTTTCTTGGAATTGTCTTAACTGCCTCAAGGATCCAGTGATTTGTATCAATTGACAGAAGTTGAGTGTAAGATCGTAATGGATGGCTGCTTGAGCAATGCATCAAATCCTCATGGATCCCCATGGGGTCTCCTGACAATCTCTCTTTTGTACAACAACGCCGATGGTATCACCACACTTGTACAACAGGTAATGTCCCATGCTGTCGTGGAATTTGAAATTCCAGGAGGTTGGTACGTGACACCGAAGTTCATGGTCAGGTGTTGTGCTTGAGGCTAGGAAATATATGAAGATAATGCAGGTTTGTTGTATGCAGTGTAAAGGAACGACAGGAGAATTCCAGATGTTGGAAAGTTAAGACGAAGATGACGTTTGTGCCGAACGGTAGTTGCAGAACGGAAAGTGATCTTAGGATTCGACTGGCAAGGGAAGTAGAGAGATCTTGACAAGTCTGTAAACGATCGAATATGCCTGCTTCATAGAAATCTAGACATCATCTCCACAGAGTTGAGACTTTATTCTGATAACAAGATTTGAATCTCGGGAATCGCGGTAGAAGTCTCGCTTCAATCTGAAGATCCAAGAAGCAATTCGGCACTTGCTTCTTCGGTGGTAATTACCAGCCTCAACTTGATGAAACATCAAGTACTGTGCCACTCAATGACTGAAGCCGCGGATAAATGTCAAAAAGTCAAGAAACGTGAGAAGAACTGAAGTTATACAAAGACCAAGCTCATTCCTGTTCCTGGCGGGTATTCCGAACTTACGAGTACAAGGTGTGACGGCGATGATGCGAGGTTTAATTTATTGTCGGCGATACCTGCTCGCGTGTTTCACAGCATCATGCATGAAATGCGGTTCGCACCGGGCTCTTGAAGTAAGTATTTGTCGTCGAGGTCGGGATCTGTGGGAGTGCAGGCTGAAGGCCGTTCTCGTGCACAGCACACGGGCTGGTTCTTGTTTGTCTGGTGGAGTCCATACAGAAGTGGATCGAGGATCGAGGATCAGCCAGAAGTTTTTCAACCTCATCTCAAAGTACGAATCCGGGCCGGAGAATAATTGGAGCATCGTCTCCACCGCAATCGATAAAATGCTGTAATCGATAATCCGCAGATCAGATGAGACGATGAACTCAAAATGATGAGAGAAAAGTTGGTCATCCTCTGCTCTCATGGCGTGTCGTCGACGCGACCAGGCTAGGGCCGGATAAAGCAGCGGTTTAGCGGCTGCGTCGGAGATTTAGTGCAGAGATGCTGGTCGATTGAGGCGCGTCCCTGAATTCTTTAATTTAAGCCACTCAATACTCCTCGGTGTACCCCAGGTTTGCCAGAGCGTGCTACAAGACGACACATCATAAGCGGACGCCTGACACTGCCGGAGGGAATACAGTATATTGAAAGGAGCTGAATGAGGTGAGTTGAATTGAGCTGAAGGACGAGGGTAAGGACGAAAACGAGCCATTGATTTTCATGTCTAATTATATTTCGTTTCAACACGAAGCCAAATCAATCCAGGTGTGCCAGCGTGGAGATCCGAAATGCAGGTCCTTGGAGAGGAGAGATTCGAGTCTGAGAAGAAGAAAAGAACGAAGCGCACACGGTCTCACAGATGATCCTGATCCCCGTCTTCACCGCCTCAGCCACACATTATTTTCTTCCCATTTATTTTTCTGCTTGTCATGCACCAGCGAGCCAGCCTACGAAGTACTGTACCAGACACTAAACTAAACCCGCTAGAGACGCCTATGCAGCCTAACCGGATCAGCCCACTAGATCTCGCATGCAATCTCGCCTCGCCCCCCTGAAAACGCCTAAAGTGGTTATTCCTCAACCGCCGTCCAACGACATCCGTCTAAAACTCACCACGAACAAAGTCTGCTCGCAACGCTTGCCAAGGGGAAGTATGAGGGGATACCGAGGGACTCTTATGTCATGATTCCGAAATTGCACTCCCGATCTCCTGATCTCCTTTTCTCTATTTTCTCTCCAGCTCGCCGTCGCATCCGAGAACGATGGTGGCAGTGGTGGTGGCTTGGACCGTGGACGACGTCTTGACTCTCCTGAATCTCCCAGCTCACCTCGTGTTACTACAGTACAACGCATTGCTGTAATTCCCACATCCAACCGATTCGAAACCTTCTTCGACGGAGGTAAGGTCCCCTCTCGATCACTGGTCCACGAGCCCAAACATGTCGTGCGACTTGTCCAGAGCCTCGAGGTTGGTCGGGGGGCGAACGTCGTGGGATGTCAATATGCAAGCAGACAGCGGCCCAGTCGTGCGAGTGCGAGAAGACAGACCAAGCTTCGTCAGACGCGGAAGAGAGCTCCTGCAGTCCAGGCAAATCCAAGGCTGCTCTGCCTGGTCTCTTCCTGGTAGCAGATCAACGCGCTATGAACAGTTTGGCTGGCCCAGAAGTCAAGGTCCGGACGATACGATGGTCATGGCGGCCATGCAGCGCCCACAGAATTAGTCCACTTTCAGCCCGGGGACATCAGACGAGACGAGACGCAGAGCCAGTCGATTCCACATGGAGCATCGCAATCTTGCTTGAACGCCTCGCGCCTCCGGGTCGCGATACTTTTGTCCTGCATAGCGTTATGTAAGTACCAGAGCTTCCCCTTCTCGTCTCTTCGTCTGAAGCTTGGGCGCACGTTTTAATCTCATATGTTCCCATCCCCGCATTCCTATTCGTCCATGTCAACTTAAGTTCAGCCATACCATACCTGGTTCTCTTTCCCGTCACGGCATCATCACCTCGAGAAAAAAGAGCTAGGCCCCCTCGTTCGTCCTCGTTGCCGGATCGGCACTACGTACCTAGTCTTACTTCTTAGCCAACTTTTGTCTTGCCTGTTTTCTCAACCTCAGACCTTGTCTTTCTACCCGGAAAAATCCCTCCTCTTTTTGCATTTGCACCGCACGTTGAACTTACCCATTGAACGCTTCACATTTGTTTTGCATGAAGCAACTGCCCGCTGGTCTCGCGCAGATGCTGTTCGTTCACACCTTCCCTAGGCCCTAAAGAAAGCTTCGACCTCTCGTTCATTCGACTTTCTGGACAACCTCCCCCCAATTATATACTCTACCCAGGTTCTGGTTTGGTGGAGAGGTGACCAGCCGTTGCCAATATGATGGTTCATGCGACACGGTCCAGGATTCTTACAATCCTGCTGTTATACTTCTGTGTCAACGTTGCTGTTGCAGAGAGATGGGCACTTCATTTACACAGGCGTGATGGACCTACAACTTCATCAACAGATGTTTCGACATCCCAGTCCAACGAACCGTCGCAGACAGGAAGTAGCAGTGGGGATAATGGAGGAACTACAGCTACACAGAAGGCTACTATAACTGGAACATCGAATTCGACATCGACATCTAGCACGACGTCGTCCTCGTCAACCAGTACTGAGGCTCAAATAACTCCAGTTACCTCGAATATCAATGGAGCAACCCCGACATCCTTGATAAACCTCAATTATACGGGCTACAATTGTACGGCGACTTTCATATGACTCCCTCAAATGCTAATTGAAGATAGTTACCCTTACACCTGACAAGCTCCCCATTACTCCCGAGATCAGTCCCGGTTTCGCAGTTGGAGGGGTAATTTTGATGGTTACTGGAGCAGTTTATACCCTGGTCGGCATCAAGAACAAATGGCTACACATTTATCTTTCCGCCGCATATCTTGCGAGTGTTGCGGTCACGGTCTTGATCATCTACGTTATGAACCCTCCCGTCAGCAACGCCATTCAAGGAGCATACATCGTGGCTGTCGTAATGACCGGGCTTATTCTTGGTGGAGCTGCCATTGTTTTTACGGAAATGACTGAGGGACTGGGATGTCTTCTTGGAGGATTCTGCCTCAGCATGTGGCTTCTTGTTTTGAAGCCTGGAGGGCTCCTGACTTCGACCAGTGGTAAAGCTATTTTTATTGCTTCATTCACGATTGCAGGTTTCTCCACCTCATTCAGCTATCGTACGCGACCATACGGGTTGATCGTGTTTGTATCGTTTGGCGGCGCGACTGCATTAGTCATGGGCATCGATTGCTTCAGTAGAGCTGGCTTGAAGGAGTTTTGGGCCTACCTCTGGTCTCTAAATAGCAATTTGTTCCCTCTTGGCGCTACTTCTTATCCGTTGACAAGAGGGATAAGAGTCGAGCTTGCTTCTATCATTGTTATTTTCCTCGCTGGAGTTGTCTCACAGATGAAGCTATGGAAGATCATCAAGGAACGAAGAGCTCAGCGCGCAGCCGAGAGACTGAAGGATGAACGAACCATGGAGCAAGAAGAAGAGAATGTGGGGAGACGCGTCGAACACGCCAATGCGGAAGAACGTGGGCAATGGGAAGCTGTATATGGCGACAAGGATGCGAACAAATCGATTGACCCGTCCAACAGAGATTCCGGTGTTGGTGATATGGACAGTCAAAAGAAGGGACCAACGAGCACGGTAACTTCCGTGAAAGGTGAGGAGAATATCGAAATGGTCGATATGCCTACTCATACGACTGGTGCTGGACTCGTGATGACCAACAAGGATGGAGGACCCATCACTGTCCGTGTTGCTCGTGACCCTGAGCCTACTCCTGAACTTGACGAATTTGGCATTCCTGTTGCAACATCACCTACCTCGGCCTCACCTCGAAACTCGACATCTCAAAAGCCCGAAGAAGAAAAGATCTGGGTCGTTGGAGCTGATGGAGAAGCAAGACTAGAGAGAAAGTCGTCAAAACGACACTCGAAGCGGAACTCCAATGTTGCTCCCGAAGTCGTACCTCTTCCGTTCAAGGTCCCTGAGGGCGAATTTTCGGATGATCGGTCATCAGTGGCAACTTTCGCGGATGAAGATCCAGCAGGTCAAAAACGACGATCACGACATCTTTCGGCAGGATCGATGATTCTGAGAAAGCTATCACAAAGATCGCATGCATCACTTAGGTCACCAAGATCCCCTCGATCAAACAGGAATTCAAGAACTTTCACTATTGGGGAGGGGCCCAGTGCAGAAGATCTAGTTGTCACACACGGTGCTATCGAAGATGACCGAGCAAGTTCGATTGCAGCTACAATGGACGGTCTCAGCGATGACGAGGAGATGAGAAGTATCAGATCCTCTGTACATCAAGCACCGGATACGACAGAGGTCGCCGGGCCTCCACAAGCCTCGGAAATTGTGCTTGCAAAGGACGTCGAGAAGCTAGTCATGACGCCTGAACCCAATCCTCTTACTCCAGAAGTTGAGAAGTCCGAGAAAGATGAGCCCCGCCCGGTTACAGAAACAGCTGTTTCAGATGATGTACGGCCAGAAAGTGACGCCAAGGAGGTCGAGGACGTTCCACAATCGTTGACCACAAGCACAGATCCAAAACCAGAACTTGATATACCGAAACAAAGGAAGTCTGCATCAAATGTTTCTGCAGTGGATTCAAAGCCATCTAGCATCAAGAAAGAGCACCTACCAGCTCAGATGTCACGAGTGGTAATGTCATACCGGACGAACGAGTGGGCCAAGCATCTGAGTATGGCTGATGCGCCAGATCTTGAGGAGCTCAAATTGGCAGAATATCCAGTTGCGGAACAATCAACTGCTCCAGTTGAGACGGCAGTACCCGTGAGAGTAGAAGAGCTCCAACAAACAGCTGAAAACGCAACTCCAGCTCCAGCACCTAGCAGAAGTGCATCTCAAATATCAAACCACCTACCTGCTCCCACAAGATCAAATTCAGCACTCTCAAAACACACTGCGAACCCATCAGTTCTTGAAAGGTCAGATAGCGCCGCCAGCGCTTACCCACCCCTAGAAGTCCTCAACCGCAGCTTATCCCAACAATCACTCGCCTCCCTAAAAAGCGTCAGCAATCCCCCTATCCCACGAGGATTCCGATCAGTCTCCAGCCCCGCCATCCCCCAACCGATCGTCGAATCCCCCAGTGAAGCCGAATACCCCTCCCACTCCCCCAACCTACCCTCTCTAAGCAAATTTTCCGGGCCCAACGTCCCCTACGGCGCACCCAGCACCCTCATTGGAAAACGCGACTCCATGATAAGACAAAAATACAACCCTCCCGCTACCCTATCCTCCACGCCCGAAAATCCCTCCTGGAAATTTCCCTCAGTAGCTGCCGGCTCCGGACCATCATCTCAATACCCTAGCGGACCGACAAGCGTCAGAGCAGAAAGTGATGCTGGTAGCATTTACAATTACCCCAACACAAACGCAGTCTTCTACGAAGAGGACGACGAAAACATGTCTCTCTCCGCCCGCCGCGAACTAATCCGCCAATCCTCCCTCCACCAATCAGCACCTAACCTTCCTATTGCTGCCCAACCGCTGCAAACCGGCACTCCGCCCCCATTCGACTCGCACCAGCCGCGCCGCCAGCCCTCGGGTCCGTCGCCGATGGCGCGGGAACAGCAGCTCGCGAGCTGGAGAGCGAGCGTGCAGTACGATTTAGCGGCTGGAGGGGCGCCGCGGAATACGATCGAGAGGCAGAGGAGCCAGTTGTGGTTGGAGCGGCAGGAGGAGGAGAAGCGGAGGGTGGCGGAGGAGCGGAGGCGGTTAGAGCGGGATGGGGCGTTTGATGAGCGGATGCGGAGGGGGGATATGTTGGATGCGCATCGGGAGGCGTTGAGGAAGATGCAGGCGAGTGCTAATAGGCATGCTTGATTTTTTCGTCTCTGGGGAAGGGGAGTTGGGAGTTTTGAGAAGAGGTGGAAGGGGAGGATGGGGATATGTTCATATGATATAGTACGTAATTTCTAATTCGCACAGGATGAAGGGTCACAATCAGTCACAAAAGGAGGGATGGATGGATGGATGGGTTATGATTTGTATATATGAAGGCATACGTGCCTTTGGGTTGATTGATTGTTGCTTTTTCTTTATTTGTTGAAGAGAATCACCCTCTTTGGATGCTTACCTTGCCTACAGGTGGATGATGTGTTCTGATCAGGCAGCTAGTAAGCTCGAGGAATGGAAGATATCGAGATAGAAAATAGAAAATTATCCTGATAGAGATTTATTGTTGTGACTTTTCTTGTCATTGCTATGTTTCCGGCAGACTATGAGGTTGGTGTGCTTAGAGCAGGACTGAAGTTGCAAAGTGAAATAAGCAAGTAAACTTGCCTTTTACTCACCTTTCCTCTGTGCTTTTGCTGGCCTCCGGACAATCTTTTGCCGGCATGCGAAGTGCAACAAACACGATCGATCTTGGATTTCTTCTCGGACAATTGAAGGTCTTCCTTGTCAAAGCCGGCCAGAAAGTTATTCGTTTGGACGATTGGTTAATAGCGAATGTAACTGCGATATATATGAGATAATATGTCTGGCCTCTAATTGGTTAATTGGAAAAGGCAGCCTTTAGAGGTTAGTAGCATAGCGTGATATCTCCTTAGAAGCTTAGTCCGATACTACAGTCTTTTGTCTGAAGGAGTTGTGAAATTGTGCTGGTGAAAGCTATTGGCAAAGCGCTTGAGGCTCAACTTCAACCAACATTTTCCGGCAAATCTGCTCTTGGATATCGGACAAACGGTTTAGCGTATGCGACATGCAACGAAAAAATTTCTTGCAATCCTATTGGTTGTGCCGGACTTGTAAAGAAAGTCGTCCCGATTGGGAAGTCTGTTGATAGCGTGGTATTGTTTGTCTCCGGGTGGCCTTTTACCCGTTTGCGATGTGCAACAAAAGAGCTTCTGGGTTCATGGTTGGCTATATGAGGGATTGAGCGTGATGCTAAAGTTCATTTTGGGTTTTGTCTGAAGGTCTTTGCTGTAATGCTGTGTTGTCTTATCACCCCGAATAATTACACCAACACAACCCAAGATGATTCGGAATATACTACAGAAATGAAGAAGGTCTCTTTGCGCCGTTGATATATATTTCGTTTCCAGATGATCACAAGTAATCGACATACCTAGGCACCAAGCTAGGAGTAGTTTACATTACCAGTAGCTCGATTTCTTTCTTTGCTATTTGTCTTTGACCAGCGCCTCGAATAGACGGTATATGTTACCAAAATATGCCTGTTCTCTAATTTGCAAGGACAATCAGTGCTGAAGTGCTTTGCGAAGTTTCTTTTTATGTAGCAGTGATTTTATTGCGTGTTGCTCATCATCAAGTCACTTCACAATCACCTCCTAGAAAGACTCGAAGTGAGCTTCAAACTTAGCAAACACATTTCAGATTAGCACTTAAGTTGATTATTACAGTCTTGCTTTAATGAGAAGAAACGATGAGTGGTGCATTACAATATTGGGCTCGACTAAAGCAACTTTCTCGTTGAGTCAACTTGAGACGTCCAGTGAGGATGTTTTGATGAAGCTATTGGCTGTATGAGTAGTTTGATCTCGATTCAAAGGCGTTGTTCATGCTGTCTAGATGTTATATTTTTTGATATTCTTTACTTTGTCTATTCGACATGGAGCAGTGGTTCGTGAGTGGCAACTTGACGACCTGAAAGATGACTCGGATTGCGATTGGTAAGAGGAAAAATCAAGCTGTCACTGACGCATACGAAGTACTAGACTAAGCATTAGTATCTGCAACTCTGCCATGTTGTTCCTTTAAAAACTCGAATTTGTGAATCTGTAATACTGCGGCTTGAGGTTGGGGTAGGATAATCCGCGAATAGGCTTTCCTGAATGGCCCTTGGCCTATGCACTCTCATCAAACATGGGCATCTATCCCAAACATTTATAAACTCCATACCAAAGCTGGCATGTCGCTCAATTCTCCACAGCAAGGGAACTCCCGATCCTCGTATGGGGAGTCACGTGTCGTCTGACGAGGACCCTTGCTCCACTTCCAACTTTTCCAATTTTCCACCCCCAGGTGCAACCTCAAAAATCTCAGCCTCGTACCTCCTCCTTTCTTCTGCAAAACCGCTGGAAACATCTCCGAGAAGAAATACACAGCTAAGTAGATCTCTTTATCTTTGTGCGGATTGCCAATGCGGCACAGTATCCGTAACCCCATTTCTTACTCATCAACGTGCACATGAGAAATTGGAGCCGAACTCTATTTTACATGCATGCTCAGCCCGATTACAGTTTCCGCTGTGTCCGAGCCAAACGGCGTCTGCTGCTGGTCTAGTGACCCTTACTTACGACAGCATCGACGACGACGACGAATCCAGTATTCCTCTCTCTTTTCCATGATTTTTGTTACTGGGATTTGATGTTCCGGAGGGACAAGGAGCTGCTTGGATCATCCTAGCGAACGAGAAGATGGCTTGTATGCCGAAGGGCACCGCGACGGCGAGAGAGAGGGAGCTCTACAGGTTTGTAATAATTACTCATAGCAGTTCTTGATGCTGATGGAAGAAGATATTATAACCCAGCGTTGATGCCATGTCCCAATTCAAACGACAACGAGAAAACAGCCAAGAAAGCATCCTGCGATCCATGTCTCACTGCCTTCGCACAACTCGGTGCTTTACGATTGAATGCTCGACGAGGTCTCATCACGCTCTCGACGCGCGACACTGAATTTATACTCGCAGAATCTGGGCAGAAACTCTCGTTGCAACAAGATGACGACGAGGACGATAAGCTGTGGCATGGAGTGGGGCTGATACAAAACGATGTTGGGATGGCACCAGAAATCACAAAGCTATTCATGGAGAAAGATCCACCGTCCCATGTGCTGGTTGGAGATTTGAGTAAGCATGAGAGATTCAAGGACAAGAAGGGTGTGGTGTGCGAACCGCATCTTAGAGCTATGGCATGTGTGCCGTTGAAGACGCCGCTGCATGGGATTGTGATTGGGACGTATATCGTGGTGGATGATAAAATTAGGGGACCATTGCCCGAGGAGGATTTGCATTTCTTGACCGACATGGCGATCACGGTTATGGATTATCTTGAAGCTGGACGAGTTAAGAGGCAACAATACCGTGCTGAGAGAATGGTCAAAGCGATTGGATTGTTTATCGAAGGGAAGACAACCTTGAGGGAATGGTGGTTGGAAGCAGGACACAGATACCAGCATTCGAGCAAGAAACGGGACAAGGATTCGAAACATCTCGAGAAATTAGCAGATAAGGAATTTGGTGTTCAAGAGGGGACAGACTATTTCTCGAGGAATAGTTTGCATGGACTAGGGCATGCTCTGGAGTCTCAACCACAATCCCCAGCTTCTTCGGCGCCGACATCAACAGCTCCTTCAGTTTCCGGAAGAGGAGATGGAAGGCCGGCGATTCCAAGAGGTGATACATTGCTCTCGGCTTCTGACACAACAGTCACATCTCCACATCAAGTGCATTACGATGGAAGGCCTTCTATCCCTCGTGGAGATACTCATTCATCTGATTCAACGCTGGTCTCGAAATCATGGCAAGAGAGGAACAGTTCAGTCACTACCTTTGATACGATAGATCATACACCTGATCCGGAGAAACACCACCAGCATCACAGCTCAGTCTCATTCGACCTACCTCCTGAGAATCCCGTTGGACAAGAGGTTTCGAAGGAGCTACAGAATGCCATTCTCACATCCGATGTGCGAGGCGTGTTCGCAAGAGCAAGCAACCTCATCAGAGAAGCAATTGGAGTTGAAGGAGTGATCTATTTCGACGCAAGCGTAGGGTCTTTCGGTGGAAGTTCAGACAAGAACGTTATGGAAGAGAAGGCTCCGGGCGCTTTTCATCCCGATCAAGCTATCACGACCAGTGAAGATGATCTGGCTAGACGCTCGTCGGACACTGATGCCATGGATCCACCAAAGATGGAAGGCCTCACGCCACAGAATCCCAATGGAGCTGAGAAATACTGCAACATTCTTGGGTTTAGTACTCGGAAACGATCAAGCTTACGAGGACATCAAGCGAACGAAGAACACCAAAGAATGCCAGAGGGCATTCTGAGAAAATTGCTTAAAAGATATCCTCATGGGAAAGTTTTCAATTTCGACGAAGAGGGTTCGTTCTCAGCTAGCGAGTCTGATCAAAATCCGTCAAGTACTCTGCGTGATGCACAAATGGATGCCGGAACTGGTAAGCCAGTCTCAGAGAATGTGAGGCGACGGAATCGGACATCCAGAGAACAAGAAGCTGCTGCTATACTCAGCGTTCTTCCAGGTGCACGAAGTGTATTTTGGTTTCCGCTCTGGGATCAGAATCGTGAGCGGTGGTTCTCTGGCTCTTTGGTCTGGTCTACTTGTCCTACCCGAACCCTGTGCCCAGTTGAGGATATTACATATCTCGCTGCATTCGGAAACAGCACGATGGCCGAGATCTCTAGACTTTCAGCACAGGTTTTGTCAAAGATGAAGACGGATTTCATTTCCAGTATTTCCCACGAACTTCGCTCTCCTCTGCATGGTGTTTTGGCTAGTGTCGAATTCTTGCAAGAGACGCAGATGACCGAGATTCAAGCAGATATGGTTAGCAATATCCACGCTTCTGGAAAAGTGTTACTGGATACCATCAATCATGTCCTCGACTTCTCCAAAGTCAATCGAAAGTCTAAGAACAAGCGTCGCCTGCCCAAGAAACGAAAGCAAAAACTCGGACGAAGAGAAAGTGTCGACGATGGCGGAGAAGAGAAAGCAGATATTTGTATCCTGTCGGAAGAAGTTATTGAAAGCATCTACGCTGGACAATCAGTTTCTAAGAAAGCTCTTGGTTTGGCTGGACATCGTCGCCATGCTTCACTCGGGAATGGAGAGCAACATGTCATAGTCATTGTCGATATCCATTGGCGTCCTAACTGGACCTTTGAGATCGATGCCGGAGCCTGGAGGAGAGTTCTGATGAACCTTTTCAGTAATGCGATGAAATATACGAAATCAGGATTTGTCAAGATCTCTCTGGAAATGGAAGAGGATGTGGCAAGTCAGAAGTCGAAAAGTCGTCAGAATTTGATACTCAAAGTTAAGGACAATGGGAAGGGTATCAGTCAAGAATTTTTGAAGCATCAGCTTTATAAACCTTTCACCCAAGAAGACTCCTTGGCTACAGGAGCAGGTCTTGGTTTGAGTATCGTCAAAGCGATCGTTCAAGACCTTGGTGGGAGGATTGATTTCCAGTCTGAGCCTGGAACCGGTACTGAAGCTACCGTCCGAATGCCTCTTACAGAAAGACTCCCGAAAGCGGATAGTATGAAGCTCATTGGAGATGTGAAACACTTGGTCAAAGGACTAAAGTTCAACCTCCAATGCTTCGACATGTTTCCCGACATTGCAGAAACTCCTACGGGTATCCTCAGTTCTGAAGCCGAAGCTGCGATGCTGTTGAAATCTACACTCCAAAGCACGTTCACGTCTTGGTTTGAGATGGAACAGGTTGGATCTTGTCTGCCTGGTGCTCAAACTGCTGATGTTTGCGTTATTATGGAGGCGGGAATGGGAGACAGGAGTTTGGATGATATGCTGGAGCAATATCATACAAATCATCCAGAGATTAAGGAAGGGGAGAAACTGGTGGCAGTGGTATTGACTAGTAGTTATCACTCAGGGCCCAAGGTGGATGCTCATCAGAGGTTCAAGATCTTTTATCTACAACAACCGTAAGTTCTCTTATCTTCTTCATTTTTCAATCAGGATACTAATCAACGTGTCAGATACGGACCGCATAAGATTGCCAAGGTTCTCCATCAGGCCTACTCACCGGAGGGCCATCTGTATATCGATGACAACCAAAGCGAGGTGACGAGCCCGCTATCACCTCTTTTGGATACAGCATCACCCTTGCTGCAGATGAACGGTTCTCCAAGTTCGGATTTGAAGGACTTCGCATCTATCACCTCACCACCACCTATACCTACGCCAATAGAATCTCAAACTCCAATACCAGCAACACCAACCGTCACTCCTCCGGCACCCAACTTCCCTACCTCCGAACCCAATCCTACCCATGACTCGGACACTGAACCCGTCAAAATAACAACAGATCCTCCCGCACCAGCTCCTAGTCCCACAATCCAACTCACTCTCGGCACTGCGCCACCAAAACCAGAAGGCTTGAGAGTCTTGTTAGTAGAGGACAATGAGATCAACCTGAAGCTGTTGATTGCAACGATGCGGAAGTTAAAGTTAGATCATGCCACAGCTACGAATGGGTTGGAAGCTTTCAACGCATACAGAGAGTGCGGGGGAAATTTCGATGTTGTCTTTATGGGTTCGTCTTCCCTTTCCTGCCCTCTCTTTCCTCCCTCCTCTTAGCAAAAAGCGCTAACAAGCTTCAAAACAGATATCTCAATGCCCATAATGTCCGGTATAGAATCCACCCAACACATCCGTCGCTACGAAAAAGAACACAACCTGCCTCCCGTATCACTGATTGCGTTGACGGGAGCAGCGAATCCTAATACGAGACAAGAAGCGTTCAGTTCCGGTGTTGATCTGTTTTTGACGAAGCCGGTGCCGATGAAGGCGTTGAGGAGTATGTTGGATGATTTGAAGAGAGAGGGACGGGGAGCTTTTGCTGGTTGATAGGGGTTAAGGGAGGGGATACGAGATGAAAGTCGGTTCCAGGAGGAGAGGGTCACAAGTGGACCGACATTGACATGAGAATGGACTTCAGGTCCAGGAGGGGTAGTCGCGTGAGTCCGGACATCGATAATAACGCCGAGGTTCGAAGAAAGGGAGCCGAGAAGCGGCCTGCAGATAAGGACGAGCAAGAGATTGCAATGAAGCTATGAATGAACCGGAAGGAGTTAGGGTATATAGTGGCAGCTAGTCTTTGTACATGTGCTCGGAGTTCGATATCAGACATCAGGATCGGTTCAGTTTTTTATATATCCAATCCAGATAGGGATTGGAACATGTTTACTATTTATCGTTCTCAAAATTCCATGTATCTTTTTGAAGATCATTTTCTTCACTATCTTGAGCATATCCTCCTAAGTCCCCACCAAACCCAACACTCAAATAGCTCCATGCACGAAATCCATCTCAGATCCATCATCCAGGATCCCGCGTCCATCTCGCGTCGTCCGCCCAACCCCACACCTCATCTCGCAGATTCCCTACTCACCAGCTAGCGTCCCACCAGCCTGGACACGAACACACAAGGCTGACACCGCCGTTGGAAATCGTAATCTCCTTATCAATATTTGCTAGGACTGGGGGGGTTGCGGCTCTTTTTTCTCCCTTCTCTGCGTCAGGATTGGGAGCTGTGATAAATTTTGTTAGATTGAGGATGGGGGTGTGTGTTATGCTCGATAGAGTTCTTCTCGGATTGAGTGCGAGTGCGATGGCGGTGTTTTTTGGGAGGGAGATTGAGTTTTCCTGAGTGAGAGTGAGTGCACTGCATGTCACCAAATTTGGGGTCCGGTCTGTGCCCTGTAGCAGCCGTTTGCTTGCTTGCTTGCTTGGATCTATTGATGAATAGAATCCTACGATATGCACAAATTGATTGATGTGTTACTGAAAATAAATATTGGTATTATTGATCACTCGCAAGGATCAATCACTTTCTGGAGTATTACTGGGTTGGGAAGAGTTGGATAGTTACCCCTTTTCTGCCTGCTGGTGGATGAAAGGAGCAAACTGAGACGAGAAGAGCCGCAACAATGCATGAATATGATGAATGAACAAACCCATTGTGCTTTGACAATAAGCAATAGCTGCCCAAAGCGAAGTTGCATGATTTCAAAACGAGGAGATCACGCAGGAGATGTTTTTTCTTTCTCTGTTCTGGGAACTCGTCAGAATGATAGGTCTGTTCTCGAGGCCAAAGTCTGAAAGTGGCGATCCACCGAGACAAGCAGGCTTGAACTCAACTGGAGGCAAGTCGTTCTGGGTTCAGGCATTTTGCTGGAAGAAAGGGTGACGCTATGGCTGCTGCGATTCCGTACTGGACGCGCTGAGACGCGTGCACAGCGGAACAGATGTGGTGCCCGTCGTTCTGACTGGTGCCGGGCTCGGACAAGGAACGGAGACGATGGATGATTCTTGGTGTTGCTGTGTGGGCGGTTGATATAGAAATACAAAGACGGCTGCTGCACCACCACCATCCATGTCCTCTCCGACCGTGTGTGAGACGTGGTGAAAATCAGAGAACATTGCGGCCACCGATTTGTCCTTACCAGATTTTACTCCCTCCTCTTGCTTCCATACGTCTCTGTTTGTTGTTTTGTTTCTTGGAAGAACAGAGGCGGAAGATGAGCTCTTGCTGAATGTTCTGTTAGCAAAATATGAGGGTTTTCGGCAATCACATCGGCCCTATCCCGTTTTTGTACATGCAGCTGGATAGGAGTCGTGCACCTGCATCAAACCATTCCAGTGTCATCCAAAGACCACAACCCTATTCGTCCCACAACCACATCTCCATTGAGCACGACAGACTGAATCATCGTCGTCGGCGCTGCAATTCACGACTTTCTCTTCCTCCACGACATCAACACCCTCAACCATACCTCCACAACCTTCTTCCTCCTTCTCCCGCCGCCGTCAAGGCACCGCTCAAACGGCGTCGCACGCAGAACCCTCTCCTGCACCAAAAACCTCTTCATCCACCATAAGAAGTCCCGACCGTCCACCAACCTCCAACCCTCGAATCCCCTCTCCCAGCTTCCAACCACCATACCCAACCCCATCACTACCCGCACCCAGCAGCACTCCCGAGCCCCAAGTCCGCGTCACAAGCCCAACACGCTGGAGTCTGCGCAACGCATTAATTGGCGGCGGTTCCGAGTTCGCATCCCCGTTCCGCAACCGCTCTGGCACAGGCGGATCCTCCATCGCGCCTCGAGGACGACCGCGCCGTCCGTCGGCTGCCCGACTCTGGAATCCGAGCAATTCAACGCCCAGAGCGCCCGCTGCTGCAGGTTCTGCGAAGAGGAGACACAGGAGTCCGGCTGAGGAGAGGGTCATTGCGATTCCGTTGCAGCATCCAGAGGTTCTTAGTCCGAGGGAAGGCGCAGGTGCTGGAGGCGAGTATCCGCTGCTGACGCTGCCGGAGCAGAGGGCGAGTAGGCATTCTGGGTCGACGAGGGCGAGTTTGCAGGTTGAGAGGAGTGGGAGTGACGGTGGGGGTAGTAATCGGGTTAGTTTGCCCCGGAGCGTGAGTATTGATCTTTCGAGGAGGAAGAGTGGTGAGGTTAGTCCAGCTCTGAGTACGGTGCCTCCACTCGATAAAGGGAAGGGAAAAGAAACGGCGGAATCGAAGCCAAGGGTTACGGGGTTGAGGAAACGAGGTCAGAGTATTGACCATCCGAAAGCGACTGCGGGGATTACGTTTGACAAGGGAAAGAGGATAGAGATGGATACCGATATTGAGAGAGGACCGGATGTGCAGGGCCAATATGAGGAGCATGGGACATCGAATCTCCCGAGGAATGAATCCAATATTTCGTTACCGGGCGGCATTGGACCTGCGATATCGAGCACCAATACGAGTATCATAGGCAGTGATGGACCCGTCAATCCAGCTGAGGAGTGGGGACCTCAACATCCTTGTTTTCCTCACATGAATCCTCATGTCCCTATCACATCACCGTTATACCAGAACACGAGGATCATTCGCATCAGAAGAGATTGGATGCTGGAGGGAGATCTGGCACCCACATTTTCCAATCTGTATCCTGAGATCTTGGATCCGGCAGGCGTATCGGAACAAGAATTCCGCTCCATGATCGAGAAGATCAACAACGATTTGGTACCAGCATTCAACCCCTACGGTTTCCGCAATGTGCTGGATAGCATCCTTGGATTGTTAACGGGCTGGGTATGGGATGATCTAGGATTCACAGCCGTGAAAGGGCGGTTGAGCAGAGTTGAGAAATACCTCGAGGATTGGAACAGGGAGATGGAAGGGAGAAGTAAAGAGGGTCCTGAAAATGCGCCAAAGATTGTGCCGTTAAGGAGGACGGGATATATGAATGTTTGTCCCCTATCATTCCCTCTCTTGCATTCAACATACTAACAAGAATTTTCTAGCTCGATATCCAAGTCCCCGACCCAGAAATCTCCTACCCGGCCTCTGAACCCCCAGACGAGAGAACAGTGACCGGATTGTCGAGGACGTCGGAGTAATGAATATTTAGTTCAATGGCAAATAACTTTTCATTAATTAGTCGATTGATTGTACAGTAATGGAAGGAAAGGAGGAAAGAGCGATACCCATACTTGTATTCTTTTGTAGTGTTTATTCTTGTCTATGTCGCAGGACTTTATTTTGACGAAAGGTGGGATATTCGTTTGTAGCGTGCATGGCATAGCGTAGCTTTGTATTCACTGTGTATGCAATAGTAGTATATAATACCAATACCCGTCCACTTGTTCTCATTGTTCACGCTTCTGCGAACGAACTCCGAACGTCTTACTAGGAGGAACTTTCGTTAGCCGGGTTGCTTTTATGTCCCTCAAGTGAGGTGGTCTGGGTTCTTGAATTGGTAGTAGTGGGTCTTTGTGTTGTTCTGTTAGTCTGATTTTGGAGCTATTGTCAATTCCCATCCCTTTGTCAATTTTGTCTAACTTGTTACGTCCTTTTCGTCTGCTTTCATCCTCTCCACTGCTGTCAACTTTCTTTTACCCATCTTGATTGAATCTTCCTCAACGCCAGCAAGACATCAAGATCTCCGCAACAACTCCTCACCTGAAAGCAAGACACTTCAGGATACGTACCCAGGTGCCAAACGCCACCTAATGCGCTGACTCCAGGATGGCTCTCTCTCGTCTGGTTCGGGAGAGGGATTCTCTCGGACGGATTGGTGTTTTTATAGATCCCCACCAGCAGCGAGGGAATCAGTGGGGGAAACGGGGGAGGAGGAGGTGGAGATGCACTTTGGATGAGGAGTGGTTTTGTGGGAGGTGGTGAAGTATATGAGTGGTCCTTTCAATTTTTAGGATACCTGAGGATCACTTGTTCAAAATCTGTTCATTGTCTCTTTCGGGGTTGTTGTGTTTGTTGATCTTAAAAGGGAGTTTGGAGCCTGGAATGCTCATCTTTTTTGCAGTTCCATGACTCAAATAACAAGAGGCGAACTTGAAGCTAGAGGTGGTGGTCTAGCCCAGTGCTCTAGAGCTGGTGCTTTTGGAGGGGAGTGAGAACTAGAAGGGTGAGGGATACTGGTTGAACAGAGGATATCTTGAGCTCTGTTCAAAATTTGATTTGCATTGTCAATTTTTGAATTGCTGTCCATTTGTCTCCTTGTCTCTTCATTTCTTTATGGCAATGCAGAGAAACTTAGCAAATACGCTGAGATCTGGGTTAAAAGCATAGGAGATGGCTCCGAGATACTATTTATATCCTACACGTTCTGGCTCTAGAAGGAGATCCGTTGGCTGTTTATCTGCGTTGTTGTGGTTCAAGTTGCGCAGACGGGGAGCGTATTTATCGTTTTTTTTGGGGGGGGGGGGAAGGGAGGAATACGCTAATTGCTTGCAGTCTTTACGGAATATTCACGCACTATGGTCGAACTTGGTCTGCATGTGTGAATCATGGAGATAAATCGGTGAATCGATTGAGCTCGATTGCAGACGAGCAGGTTGGCTATAAAAGATTACCCCTCCCACACCAGTAAACCTTGATTCATCAACAAGAGCGAAGAAGCCTTATCATTGTCTGCCTCTGGTTGTTTTTAATTGTTGAAGTAAGTCCTTTCCTATTCTTGTCAATTTAATTGATTTTCATGGATGGACCGACCCTGGAGTTTGACACACACAGCGAAAGTACTGGCCTTAAAATCGTTGCCAAGGTCAGAATTGTTGTCAATCATTCACTCATGTTCAGGTCAGGATTCTAGTGTCTTCTTAGCTTGCTGAGATGATGATCTTCTCTTTTGAGAAACATTCAGGCGATTCAGCGAGCTGCAGCCAGAGCCTTGGCTTGACTGAGGTCACGAAGGGGCTGCAATTTGAGACCGATGTTTTGTGCAGCCTTCTGGAGCCTAGTTGGAGCTTTCCTCGTTCCATATATTCTTGGGAGGCTTTTCCAACTTTTGAGATATTTCGAATTGTTTTTTTCCTCTTCCATCTGATGCTTTCATTGACACTTTTTCAGGATCAATTCCTCATTACCGCTGACACAAGTATCAATGTTTCGGAATCTAGGGCGAGTGATCTCCATCCAAGTCTCAAATAGGGTTTTTGTTAGACTTTGTCAAATGTGCGTTTGAAGTTTATTCCCAAGCTAGCTACTTTCTTTTCGGCTCTTCTCCATGCTCTTCAAAGTCAGAGTTCTAAGTTAAAATGCCCTCAATCAAACCAGAACTTTTCAGATACAAGAAACATTTAGTATTCTATAATCACCTCTCCACTGAATTAGCACTATATAAAACTACTTGCTTCACAACCCAAATCTACGCAACTTCACTCTTAATTTCTCCCATCTTTTAAAGCAGTAATATTAACAACATATCTCATTACTTTCGTCTTCTTTCCCAAAATTCGTATTTCGCCACGCTCGTGTTCTTAGAAAAGTTCATCGAAAATTTGTATATTAAAAAGTTTCTTAATATTACTTCGTTGAGTATAAATTACTAATTCGAGAGATTTAGCGAGCTTTTTTACTACGCTATTCACATCTATAAACTCGTAATTACAATACGCCTGCTATCAATACCGCGATTCTCGATCTACAATCTACAAGGTCAATCATCCCAACTTCCAACGTCTGAATGCCTCTCTTCAAGACCATCAGTACGTGTCACAGCAACACCAACCAGCAATCTTTTTCTGAGCTTAGGACCAAGAGCTATTTATAGAGAGTAGTATCATTTACTCCCTCAAAGCGATGTATATAACAACACCAAAGAAGGCTATGTTACAAATACTGAAGACGCAACTTGTCTCAATGGCTTTGCCTAGCTTGACTTGGCTCTGGGTCTAAGTCAAAGTTTCAAAGTAGAATGTCCTCAATCAAACCAGAACGCTTCAGACACAAGAAACATCTGGTATTCTGTAATCATCTCTCCACCGAACTGGGAGAACTTCTGAGCCGAACCTTAATTGAAGTCTAAACGCAAACAGATCCAGGCTAATGGATCAATGTGTATCAATCTGAAACGAGGCTCGAAAAGAGATGGGGATGAAAGAGGAAAAGGAGCTAAGCTATGCCGCCTAGCACCTCGACAGTGAATGAAAGATTCTGTTTCAACGGCTCTCCTCTCCACATGTCCATGCCGAGCGCTGCACAAACCCACTCGCTTCACAACTTATGTCTACACAACTTCACTCTCAACCTTACCCCTCTTTCAAAGCAGCAGCATCGACAACACATCTCATCACCCTCGTCTTCTTTCACGGAAGCCGTGTTTCACCACGCTGATGCTCTAAGAGAACTTCTTCAGAATTCATGTGCTGGAAGGATTCCAAACATTGCCTTCGTCGTGTGTGAGTTGCTGGTTAGCGAGATTTAGCGAGCCCCCTTACCCCGCCAATCAAATATTTAAGCTCGTGATTCCAATATAAAATATATTACAAAAAGATGTTCAATACGGAGTGCAACACAATAATCAACCCCCACGTGAAATGGGGCCGTGGGGAGGGGCTGTGCAGTTGACATTTTGAAGTCATTAGCAGATGGAAGCCCAGCATCTCGTAGCCTTTCCTCATAATCCAACATTCAACGACATATATATCCATCAGGGACATGTTAATCTAACACTCTCATGTGCTAAATATCATGGAACCAGGAAGATCAGCCCCTATGCCGCCCAAGGATCCCGAGTCGGCTTTGCCTTCAATCTACGATGATTTTCTACGGCCCTTGGATAAATTCGGACAGTCGATAGATCTGAAATTCTCGTTCGAAAAGAATCTTATGGTCTTGGTAGATGATATATCTACCGGAAATACGAAGGAGAATCTTCCACATTATGACCGCGGCCAGATCACGAAACGTTTCTGCATCTTTGGACTGGTATTTGCATGGCTGGTAATCATTGCTTGTACGGCGCTAGGAATTTTGTGCGCTGTACAAGTCCCGGGATTTATATATCCGACAGCATTATCTTACCCTACCACGGTAGCTCTTTCATTTATCGCCAATTTACTTGTCGCTCTTAGCACCGATGCTCTAGGATACATTCACGGTGTTTCTCTGAGATGGGCATTATTCAGAGACGGTCGTCTCCACTTCAACACCAACTTAAGGTTGTTCACAAGTACTCCAAAACATACTCCAAACCGATGGCCTGTGAATATTGTCTGTATATTTTCCCTCGTCATATGTTATGCAGCACCGTCTCAGCTGCTGTTGAGCCTAGACACCGAAAATGTTTTAGACGTAACTTGTCTCAATGGCTTTGCCTTGCTTGCGTTGGCTCTAGGTTTACTCAACATGGCGCTTCTCGCCACTTGGATCATGTTGTCGTCTTCTAATGAGATGATTACATGGAGTTCAAACGCTCTGAACAACGCCTTGGCTATCTTGCATCATCAACTTTGCGTCGAGCCCAACAGATGTATGACAGCTGTAAATGGTCCGAGAATTTGGCCTGTGGGTTCCAAACCGCTGAAGAGACAACCTTGCGCTAAAGTTGCACATCCAGCAATGCGCTATGTTGTCATATTGTCATGGATATGGCCGTTTATAGTCATTGTTTGGTTTGTTGTACTTGCGCTCCTTAGCATATATCGGTTTCAAGAGAGCTTCACGCTCGCGACGAACCTCGGTTCCAATAACCTCGATTCCAACATCGACGTGGTGTTTCAATTGGATCCTGACACTCCTTCGATGAAAGATCTTTGGCCGGTTCCACTGCTCGTCAACTTTTTTATTCAATGCATCGTGCAGGGTGTTCAAAGTCTTGGGTTTCATTCAATTGAACTGATTATCGGCATGGAAAGAGATGAAATGGCATGGAGAGCTGCTGGCAAGTCTCAAACAGGTGCTCGGATGAACACCAACGCATTCATTTCAATACTCAAGAATTTGCCGAGTATAGTCTTATACATCTCTAAACCACTTATGCACTGGGTCTTGGGTCTAGCAACACGGGCTGTAATCGCGGACGATAACAGTATCCCGAGACGATATTATTACGCTTGCGGCTTTCGGTACCCGATGGTCTTTGTCTATCTCATCTTTACCATTGCACTTGCAATCTTGACCACTTTCATTGCGTACCGTAAGCCACGAGGACCTCAGCCAGCAGCGTATGGCCATTATCAGACTTTGAATAATCTCATCGATGATTGGACTGTTGACGAAAAGGGTTCTTTCTGGTGGGGTGACAAGGGAGTTGGTCCGACTGGAATGAGGCATGCGGGTACTAGCAGCAAGAAACAGTCTCTTGGGGAGATTCGAATGGATGCGCTCTATCTCTAAGGGAGAGTATGTTCGAGTCAACGCACTGGGAGACACAACCATTGGGACCTGTGTCCCCTCGCTCATCCTAACATTGGGTGTCTTCATGAGAACCTGTACGAGCGGTGTTGGGCGATGTTCATAGAAGGGAACGTTGAATATGAAATCTACTATGTAAGAGCTTTTAAAAAAAATATCATACATCAATTTTCTATCTCTTTTGTTCCCGCATGACATTAGTAAGCTTGCCGGACTTGCTCAGGCGCTAATCTCGTTCGGTTTAGTGAGCCCAACTGAGTAATCTGCAGACTGAGCAACACGAGCATCGGAGCAAAATCTACCAGATCATCTCGTTTTGTTATCTTTTCGCTTTGTTACAGCCTGGCGGCCAAGTTACCACCTTAACGCTTTTGAGCAACTGTGCTGGTCTTAGAACTAAACCTATTTCGATGCTCGCTATCGCTCCGAAAGAGGTTAGGGTTTGGTCTTCTTAGGGCTGAGATCGACTAGAGACTACCCTGCACGATTTTAGCGGGAAGAGCGTGGGATAGTTTCCCTCGCCCTCTTAAAGCAACGTCTCTCCTAGATATCGAGAACATAATTCATCAAGAAATCGATATTGCCAATAGTCTAAGGTCACTATGTCATCTCAAGTTGAAGAGCTCATACCTCTCTCCCTAGGAAAGGTGAGAGCACTTGCTCTGGGCTTTCCTGATGTCAATATCTGGCAAAGGCATCGAACTGACGCACATCAATTAGGGAAGTACTATGCGAACCTTTATCGATCATGTACGTTCGCTTGACCTATGGGTACAATTGTAAGATTTGAGCTAAAGCACCTAAAGTCCAAACCGGACGACAGTCCAGACCACAACTGGGTGGAAGTGACATACGACGGCAAAGACGACTCCGAGGTCTTCGATGTTCCAAGACATTGGCACAGGGTATTTTATCCTTTTCGATATTCTGTCCCAGGACTCATACCGATAATAACGTACCACACCAGGAGCATGACGAAATTATGGAAGTGTTAGAAGGACGAATGATCTTCAACCTCGATGACAAAGAAATGGTCATTTCGGCTGGCGATCCACCGCTTCTCATTACTCGAGGACGCATACATGGCGGTCGTGGCAGTACGTACCTTACCTACACTGTTCCAAAACGTCGTCAAAAATTCCAAGCTCTACCCATTTTCTCTCTATTGTTCCAACACAAAGACAGAATATTCAGGACTGACTGGACTGACTGGACTAAACAATAGTCAAAGGAGAGCGCGTTCGCCTCACAGAACGTACCCGACCCTCCGGGACCTTCAAAGCTCAGTTCTTCCAAGACTTGCTCCAGAACGAACGGTTTCCAGGTTTCTTGTTGGCCACACGCGTCTTCTATGACGGCGACATGTTCCTCGCTCTTCCTGGAGGATTCAAAACTTTGGATTATTTGGTAAAATCATCATCCTTGGCTGGAATTGAAGATTTGGCTGACAAAGATAGTTCATAACTATTGTGGGGTTCATTGCTAAGGCTTTCGTCCCCGCGAAGCCAGCTACCTTGAAGCGGATGAAATGAATATGGCGATAAAGGAGTTTACTGCAGCGGATTTTGATGTTTATCAAGACCAATTCTCCGTATATTGCTAGGGAAGTGAAAGAAAAAGAATTATCCCAAGACTCTGAATATGATAACATACATTGACACCTGATGAAACTCCGCTGGGGGCCAGTTCCTCCGCCACTTCTCCCTCATTGGTCCCAACTTACTGGACTACCATTCCGCCAGGAAGTGAAGGGAGCCCTGGATTGCATGTCAGATATAACATCACAACACAGAGAGAGCATACATACATGTATCTGTCCCAGTGTTTTCCTTGGCTTGCTGAGCCTTCGTGCATGCAACAGTGTTCTCCCATGACTGCAATTTCAGAACAGGACAGGTCTCGCTGAAGCAATTTGTTCCAAGAGCATCCATAGCACGCTGAAGAGCACCATCTTTCCATCCAAAGAGGTAGTCACCATGTGCTCCGTATCCAAGACTGCATCCTTGTCAATAGCGAAAACACAGATGGCAGGAAAGCAGAACTTACGGATCCCCAAAGCTATACACAAGAGGTTGCTTGCCGTTGGTGTAGTATTTGGGATCAGCGAACCCGGAGGTATCGTACATGATCTCATACATGACTTGCGGGATTCTCACAGGATGCGTGCTGGGGCACTTATCCCCGGCGAGTGCAGAGCCCGGTTGATAAGTTACGTGAGTTCTGTGATCCGGACTATCCAAGTTCTTTCCATCCCAGCACGATGGGAAGATGACGGTAGCACGAATTCCACCAGGGCACGGCTTGGGAGGAAACGATGCATAGTCGGTAGAAGAACAAGGAGCTCCGCTACCACCAGACGTCCGCTCATTTTTGGCGAGACAACGGTGGCAGATGGTGACAGGGCCACTCTGTTTTGTGCGGAGGGTTGGATCTCCTGCCAGCATGCGGAAGCCCTGACGGTTGTCAGTTTACATCCTGTATATGTTCTTTACACTCACACGTGGGAATACTGTCACATTCTTGTTCGTACCGCTGAACGCATGCATATAGTAGACAGTAAGTCCTCCTTGTTGTTCCATCAAACTACCATTCAATCGACCATTCGCCATCTGTGGAACTCGTATGAATGTGCCATTCTCAGGAGACTGGAAGAAGATTGAAGCTGTCCAATAGTTGCTAAAGTCCTCAGACATCTTGCAGGATGTACAGCTGGACGTGGTAGACGGGTCAATCACTGCTGGATCCATCTAGTGATGTCGTTAGTGCACACTTCAACATCTTAGAGTTACAAATAGCGGTAGTACCGTAGCATTGAAGGAGCTTCCTCCAACGACTTGATGCATGTGCGAGGATGGAATCACCCCAGGATTCACAAGAGGGTCCGTACGCTCAATGACGAGTTGAGAGCAGGCAAAACGGAGAAAGTCTGAACCTTTGGCAGACCCAGTTTGTGTAAGCGCATTTTGCGCAAAAAGCGCAATCAGCGCAGTGAGCGCGAAACCCGACCAAATCATGATTGCAGAGCTTGAACTTGAAAGTTGGACAAGTTGAGGAGATTGTCAATGGTTCAAGTATCCGCTGCTTTCGTAGCAAATTCGAGCCCTATTACATATACCGAGCTGCGCACTCAATATTTACTGCATTGCCTATTTCAATCAGTTTTGCCACAATGTATTTTACGATAATTAAAGTTGGGGCAATGTAAATTGATTGTATCAATTTATCCACGAGCTCTCCAACGGCATTTAAGAGCGCCAAGTGATTGAATCATTCCCAAATTTTGGACAGCTAATAAGAATGTCAGAACCATAAATACCCGTACGCTTAATTTAGAGTGTTTCTCCATTTTGGAGCAGCCACAATTACCGGCAGCTTGCTTCTACAACTTCTCCTCACTCACAAAGGTGCTTCTGTTTGATAAAACGATTGGGTCGGAATGCACAATCACCTGTGTAATACACATCCAGGGGCTACTTGAGGTTTTCCATTAGAAGCATCCGTCGGCCAGCATCACCGCAGGCTATGCTCGACTTCAAACCCACCTCTATTTCAAAGTTCTTGGTGGAACGTAGGCTCTCTTGGATTCAAGATTGCATGATCCGTAACATATTGCCTCGCTCGATGCGCAGCCCCCGTCGCACCCACTTTCTCAGGCTCTATATCGAACAAAAAGCGCTCTTTGTACTCCGGCAACGCTTTCCCAATCACTTGCTTCATTTCTTTCATTCCATCTCTCGAAGCTTCACCTGTCAAGACGATTCCCATGATTCTTGATGTTGCATTTTTTATGTTGCCTTCGGTGAGGTAGGTGATCATCTCGTCTATAAATGTTCGGATCGAAAGTTCAAGATCCCTATCGACTTTGCCTTCATCTACAATGAGCTGCCCAAGATCGTCAGCATGATTTTCTGACTGTATACTGAGAGTTACGTCCCTGTGCATTCTCTTCTTCTCCCATTCCAGGAAATTTTCTTTGATCGATAGATATGCAAAGATAAACTCCGAGATCCAGAAAGTTCATAGCCAGATATTTCCTAGAATACTCGACCACAAGCACATAATAATCCTGATCTTCCACAACGCAATCAAACGGCTCTCGAAACCCCAGACAATTGTCCAAGTTGTAAGCAAGTCTCGCCGCATTATGAGCATTGATTACTTGATAATCCTGATCCTTTCCGAAGTACCCAAGTTCATAAGCAGCGAGCATCAAAGTGCTCATTGACTTTCTGCTTACAAAATGCCATGGCCCTGTTACAGCTCGAAATTCTATTGGATTGTTTACTTGTAGCGCTTTCGCTGTGGAAGATTGGATTGAGACAATACTTCGAGTGAACATCGCGACCGTTTCTGCGTCGTAGGCGGGGCTGGGTTGAATTTATTAGTTGCCATTTTGTATCTTAAGATAGGACTTCTCACGCATGCTTTGTTTCGTCCATCCAGGTCGCCCAAAAGTAGTCTTGCCATTCTTTGCTACTGTTCATGGTAGCAACATATATGAGCTCATTCTGAGCATTGAAATAAGCTGAGGACCTAGTATCACCCGCACTATCAGCAATGGCTGTATTTCTAGACGCATGGAAAGTACCAATGATAATAACCAAGATTGATTCCCACAGGGTAGTCAACGGCTTCTGCAGAAGCAAATGATAAGACCGTGACGAATAGCACGATACTCTTGAATGCAAATGACCAGGCCATGTCAGACGAACTGAGCATGTCTGGCTGCTCTACGAGGTCACTTCCTCCGCGATTGAGCCCGACGTGATCGTTAAGACTTCATGAGAGTGCATTGCATTGTTAGAAGAGAAGATCGTGAGACGGTGTTGCATCCTCGACCGGCGCTTCGACGTCCAACAGTTGTATCCAACAATGTCCAAGTGACTAAGCACTGCTCCCAAATGACCCTCGTCTCCTTGTCTGAGCTGACCTCCAACTCTAAGTCTGCCCCTATCCACATGAATACAGACAATGAACAAAGCAATCTGCCCCAAAGCTGCACCAAGATAGTTCATCCACATATATCCGAATTTGAAATAGAATTGAACCCAGGTTCTGTCCGGCGACGGGAACGTATGAATTAATGCTCCAAGTCTCAATCCTTGGCAGATCCCTAAGACCACAAAGACAATAATCTGGAGGCCCAAAGAGACAAGATTGATGTTTCCTCGAGCATGCAACGCCAGTGTGGTCAGAATTTGAGGCAAGTATTGTAGAAGCGTCAATGGAATTAGTAAGCAAGTTCTCCAGATTAAGCCAGTCCATCCCTTTATGAGCATCCAAATGATCGCGGGACCGATGTTTCCATGATCTTCTACAGCATCATCTGCGGCTTGTGCATTAAAAATGAGATGCCAAGCGCAAAGAAGCGTGGTGATCGAGTATGTGGCAATGATGACTTTAAGTGCCCCAGAACTTATCGGATGAGCAAGGATGCCGGTGGATCTCTGAAACTCACTGGACTCAATGGTGGTTCGATACTTGATATAGAGACTCGCGCTACGTAGCAATTATCACTCTTTGCAGCCTTTTAAATATGCGCAGGGACGATAAGACTCACGTAACTATGACACAGAGCAATTGCACAGATATCTGAAGATAACCGAGCAACGCCGAAAAGGCTTGGAAACCTTTCAAGTTGCCAGATTGTACACAAACAAATGCATCCTTCATTTCCCAATTCACGAGATAGGCAGCAACCTGGGTGGTAGAAAAGAGAGTGGTAGTAAGAATCAACCAGGATGAAATCCCGAAGGTACCATGTCGTACGATGGCAATAGCTTGGGGAACGAAGCTTCCAACAATTGCAAAACAGAGGAAGCTGTGGACACAGAGGTCAGAGACTTCATGTAACAGGACCTTTGAGGTACCTTACAGCTCAATGACTGTGCGAAAGAGACCTTGAACGCAATTTTGGCATGACATATTGTTCCCAGGCTGCCAATAGTCTTTTGAAAACGATATTTGGTACAATAAATGTATCACATTAAGATTGCAAGCAGTTTCTCGATGTTTGAAGGTTGAGGCATCAGTGGTACTTTAATGTGCCGTGCGCCTCTAGGCAGCAGAGATCAGCTGCACCTGCATGTTGGAGAACTTCCAATTTCTGGTACTCCACCAATTGAGGCTGCAAGCTTACATAGTCGCCGCCTAATGATCCTACTAAGAAAAGAAGGCTCAAAGGCAAATGCTTGGGTGTAGAATGAAAGTCTCTAACGTTCATCCCTGCGTAGCGGAAAACTCTGCGTGCCGGAAAAAATGATAAGTACTTTAACTTTAATTATTATAAAATCTATGCATAACGCAATATCTCTAATTATTTTTTGTAGATTACATTCCGTTGTCACTCCCCAACACCTTAGTTGCCTCCGACTAAAAAAGCACGTTCGCGTCGTCGCCCTCACGATTAATTTGCAAAGAGTCTATTTTTATGTCGTAACAGACTTCCTCTCCTACAGCTGCACCACTAAGCTTACGCTATCTCTAAAACTTATAGAATGGTCTTTGCCGAGTTCCTAAGCCTCCCCACTATACGGGAGATCGCTAACAGCCTTGTGGGTGCTGTGGCGTACCGATTTACACAAGATCGACATGCGGGTTAGTACCTCGGATCGAAGCGAATAACGGTATCTTGGTGGGGAACAGCCCTGCACGTGCCAAACACTCATTCCGTAAGCTCACCTGAAATCACTGGACAGAAAGCAATAGAAAGCTATTGCCTGATTGCTCTCGCATATCTAGGAAATCCTCCACCATAGTCAGTAACAAAGGCGCACCTCTATCAAGATTATCGCCGCATTCCTTGTAAGCGGTGGGAAGTAGCGATTCCTCAGTGTAAAAGTGTTTTCTTTACTAGTCAGGCTAGTGTAGCTTAATAGAGAATTCAATTAAATGAAATAACGATGAAAACGCAAGAAATAGCTTTGGAGCCGAAGAAATGTGTTAAATTAATTGTCCTTTCAAGTCTTGAATCCCTTTCCATAATATTGCCTTTCCCGAGACCCTAATATGCCTGCTTACCTACCGAGGACGCAAGTCCTTAATATCTACATTATTGGCAACTCCAACAATAACAAACCCCTTATTATTAGCACTTACATCCGAAATGTCTTGACTTATATTCAACTCTTCTCCAGGCACGTTAATAAATCCTGCCAGAGCTATACCATCATTTGTTGCTTTGATGCCCTTGATCTTCTGCCCGGTGCGCTGATACACAGTTCGCGAGAGGGCTTCCTCGCACATGTTGCGCAATAGAGTGCTAGCAGCTTGCTGTCTTTCAAGCTCCTGGAGAAGCTCCTTCTTGCTCTGCTCCAACTCCTCATCTCGCTCGGTGCCTCCACTAACTATGAATTGTTGCAAACTCTGCTCAATCTCCACCATCTCTTTGCCTGCCCTAATGAGCTCTTGCTCAAGATCGGCTTCATTTGCTTCAAGTATATTATCTTTCTGCTCCTTCGCTAATTCCTTCTGGCTGGCGATTTCTAATCTATTCAATAAATTAGCCATTAGCAGAATAAGGTGGTTCGGTGATGAAACAAACAAGCTCGCTGTAGTGAGGGCAATGTTGAGGGTGCTTTTACAGTCGTTGAGTTGCCCTTTGAAGGTTTTAATCCTGTCTGGCCCAAACAATCCGATCTTCCATCGAGATATCCAGAATATCTTATCCTCTTTGGAATGCTTCGTCCAGCGCTCGACTTGTGACTGAAATGCTTTACATGCTCTGTCACAGTTCTCGACAGCGGGCCCGATTTGGCTGCTCCGAATGATCTGCGAGGAAGCGTATTGTACATTGGCATTCAGCTCCTGCAAAACACACTCGACTACCCGAAGGTCGACGCTGAGATCTTTGATCGTGCCTGGCGCATCTTTGATATTATCGATCGTCTTGACGAGAAACTGAGCGCTCTGAAGAGCTGCTGTTGTGATGCCTACCACAGAAGCGGTAATACTGAGAGGGTCCGCCATTGTCACAGAGAGAGCGATTCAAACACAATGATTCAATGCTATTTAGATTGTAGCGCGGAGAAAACGTCTTGGAAAGGATGTATTGAGTGCGAGGGAATCCTTCAGCTGAAGCTCAGCTAAAGCGCAGCTGAGGTGACGGTGCGGGGTGGAACCAATCACCGCGAAGATGCCTAACTTAACGTCGTCGTTCCTATTCTGTAAGCCATGCAAAGCATTATCGTGAGCGCAACACTATCGCGAACCAAGACGAGGAATACAGTCTATGCTCAACATCCTACACGGTTGAAGCTATCGCATCGAGGACTGCGCCGCCAGCGGCCTGATGCCTTTAGCTCGCCAAGACGACCCGCCGTGGTCGCCCCAGCTCAATAATCAATCCATCAGCGGTTTATCTGCGACAGTCAATTCCACCCTTTTAGCAGGCCACTTTCTTGGGGATGTGCACATTGGCGAAAGCAAAAGTAAGTTGCTTCTACTATCCCCTGTATCAAAGCAATAGGAGACTGACAAATCACCTCAGGCTTGGACGATGTACTCGGGTCCCTGCCTATCGCAAAGGACGCGCCATTCAACGCATACATCCGCCAGGACGAACCTGCCTGCCTCCATAACACACGCGTCGACCTTCTGCAAGAAATATATGACTGGGCTGATGGAAAAGCTGGACACAATGAGCGATGCATCTTCTGGCTGAGTGGCCTAGCTGGGACGGGAAAGTCAACAATCTCCCGCACCTTAGCCCGCAGATGCAATGAGCAGAAGCGTCTTGGAGCCAGCTTCTTCTTCTCAAGGGGCGGCGGAGACGTGAGCCATGCCGGCAAGTTCTTTACAAGTCTTGCCGTACAGCTCGCGGATGCTGTGCCGTCTCTCCAAACACATATCTGTGATGCTATAAGGAAGCGGAGCAACATTGCGAATCTGTCTCTTTTAGACCAGTGGCGCGAGCTTATCATCCATCCGTTAAAGTTAGTCAAGCCAGACAAGCCCTCATCTCCATCTTCCTATCTGCTTATCATTGATGCCCTTGATGAGTGTGACAACGAAGGCCACATTCGCACAATTCTGCAGCTTCTAGCTGAAGCTCGATCGTTAACGACTATGAGACTCCGAGTCTTTTTGACAAGCAGACCTGAAGTTCCAATTCGACACGGCATACGGGCTATCCCACAAGCCGAATACCAGGACTTCGTACTCCACAGCATACAACCCACGATTGTCAACCATGATATCTCTCTGTTCCTAGAATACGAGCTGGGGATGATCAGGCAGGAGTGGACTCTTGGAGCAAACTGGCCAGGCGAAGTGATTCTGAGACAGCTAGTATGTAAATCTAGTGGCTTGTTTATCTGGGCTGCTACTGCTTGTCGCTTTATTCGTGATGGGAGGCGATTTGCACCCAAGAGACTGGACACAATTCTCAACGGTAGTAGTAGCACTGTTACCGCACCAGAGAAGCATCTCAATGAGATTTACCTTGCCGTTATCAAGCACTCGATCTCTTTGGACTATTCGGATGAAGAGCAAGAAGAGGCATACGATATGTTAAAGAACACGCTTGGAAGTGTAGTGGTTTTGCTCTCTCCTCTTTCTGCTTTTTCACTAAGTAGGCTATTACACCTTCCAAGGGAAGAGGTCGACCAGATATTTGAGGACCTTTATGCAATCCTTGATATTCCAGAGGACCCGACTTACCCAATCCGCCTACACCACCCTTCACTTCGCGATTTCCTCTTGAATAAAGATCGATGTGAGGATTTCTGGGTAAATGAGAAAGAAGCACACCAAATATTAGCTGCTGGCTGCATACAGCTAATGTCCCAGACACTCAAGAAGGACATTTGCGAAATGCATGCCCCTGGTAGTCAAGCCGGCCAGGTTGAGAGAAACTGTATTCAGAAATACCTTCCGCCCGAAGTTCAATATGCATGCCTTTACTGGGTCCATCATCTGCAAAGGAGTGGTTCTCAGGCTTCCAACGGCCAGGAAGCCCACCGATTTCTGCAGGCTCATTTACTGCACTGGCTTGAGGCGCTCGGATGGATGGAGAAGACTTCAGAGGGGATTCAAGCAATATTGTCCTTAGAGGCTTATGTTTCGGTAAGCCATTTGTCTATCGTTTATAAGGTCTGACTAACTCGTTCTTAGGTTTTGAAAAGTCCGAACTTATATGCATTTATCTATGATGCAAAGCGATTTGCTTTACACAATCGATCAGTAATTGAACAAGCACCCCTTCAATTGTATTGCTCAGCCCTTGTCTTTGCCCCAGAGAAAAGTATTGTCCGAAAGACATTTGAGAAGTGTATCCCGTGTTGGATCCAACAGAGACCCAAAGTCCAAGAGCATTGGGATACTTTGCTGCAAACGCTCGAGGGCCATTCTGGCTCGATCACGTCAGTCGCCTTCTCCCCCGACGGCAAGCAGGTCGTCTCTGGCTCT